GGAAAACTCACGTCCTGTTCTCACACACCTGTTGCCTCGTCTTTTTAAACTCTCCTGTCTTTATCAAAGGATTTACTCTCTTGGATTTTTTCATTTTATATCCACCTTATTTGTCCTTTCAAACCATACAGCTTACTTTCACGCTCCCATACCTCATCTTTTTTCATGCCACCTTTCATCCTTTTTCTCTTTCTAATCTTCTCAGTGTCTTTTAGTACACATACTGTATGTCATCCAGTGTGCCTTAAGGATCAATTAACACTGTAATTACTTTATTAGTCAAGTTTTCAAGGGTGTTTTAGTGTCAGCTTTCTATATGCGGCAGGCAAATGTCTGCAAACAGTCAGTGACTGCTCAGCACCAAACAGCAGACAGACCAAATTAGCAACTTGCTGGTGAACATATGTTCAGCTGACACTTTATTAGGTACACCTAGCCAAAACTAATGACATCTATTACAGGAATCCTCCAATAAATCCCCCATTTATAAATATGATAATGCTCTCTTTTTGTTAAAATTGTTTTAGAGAAGTGTTGATTTAACTATATGGTCATTTTAGACAGTCTAGTTGGTGGTGGTGTTGAAGTGTACTGCATTATACAGAGAAGTGTTTCTGTTAGCCTGGAGCCTCACTGATATAAATGGGACGGACAAACTAATAGAAACACCTGCCAGGGGGTTTCTGTTCTTACAGTTCAACAGAACACAAACTGCAGCCTCAAAAAATGACCATGTAGTTGAATCAGTTCCTCACTAAATATTACAACCTTCAAGAATCTAGGATTCGAGTATGGTCTGCCTAATAAAATATTAACTGAGTTTATTAGGAGGCTAAAAAACCCAGTTATTACAGGTTCCTTAAAGGACATTATACAATATTATATTGTTGGATTTTAGACAGCTGAGGTTACAAATGAGCATAGTTATCTAAACTTAATGGGTTTATGTATTGAGGGAATTATATAAATCATGCTCTAATGAGTCCAAAAACATCATCTGAACTTCATTAACATCTTTTTTTTTAAATGACTACGACATCTTTTCAGCTCTCAAAATCAACCAGAACAGTAGGAACATTCGACGACAGTGTCACTGATATTTCTCAGGGTAATGTCGTGCCAGGAACGATGGAAACAAAACTAATCAGACCTTCCTTCGATCATCTAAACATGCTGTGGTGTTCTTTTGACCCATGTCTTCTTTATTGTCTTATCTATCCTTTTCTTTCACTGTAACTCTAGTTTACTGAACTTTATTAAACCAAGCAGTTCAGAACAAACCCGTCTGACTTTAATGACCCAGAGAGAGGCAACTGAATCTTAACAGTGATTTTACTTGGTATTTTATTATAATCAGGAATGAGGACTGTGGGAGGGTTGTTGGTTTTACAACTTTTACACTAGGATACCTCATTTTCTGTCTTTTTGCTGCATCTCCTCCTATTTTTTCATCCCACACATACTGGCTCCTCCTTTTTCTCACCCCTCTGTCCTTCCTTCCCTCTCACCAGCCTTTTCTCTCATTCTCGCCTTCTCTTCTCCTCTATTCTTTCATCTCTTTCCATTTCCTCCCTTGTGTCCTGTGTCACCTCTTTTGCTTCCTCTCACCTCTCCTCTCGTGTTTCCTCATCACCTTCATCTTATTCCTCTTTTTTCACCTTGCACACTTTCTTGCTTCACCTTCACCCTTCTCCCCCCTTACATGCTTCTTGTCTCCTTCTTCTCATCTCTTCTCACCCTCGATGAACCCTCTCCTACTTCCTTCTAAATTTTCTCATTCATCCTGTCTTCCACTCCTTCCCTCAGGTTCCCACATTCATACCCCTCCTCCTCCTTTTCCTCCTTGTCTGCCTGGCATGACGTGGGCCCAGATCAAGGGACTGTGTTGCTGGGAGTAACAGGGATTGAGGGTGACGCGTTGGAATGCAACTCCAGCCGAGCCCCTGAGAACATGAGGAGGAGAAGGTGGAGGAAGGGGAGGTCGAGAGCAAGTATTTCCACTTGATCCCTGTTGAGTGTTTCTCCCAAATTCTCGCTTTTATTCTCTTATCCCCATCCTTTTCTCCTCTTTTTGTTTTTACCCTGTTCTTTTAGTCTTTCTCTCTTTCTGTGCCTTAGACATTTTTGGCTCTTTGCCTTTATTTTCTCACCCTTCATCCCTTAAAAGCGGGCACCAAGGACAATGTCATTCCTCCTCTTTATCCCTCTGTTTTGCTGCTCTTTATCTCCAAGTCTCTTTTGTGACTTGTGTCTTACCTTATCTTTATAGCTTGGTATGTCTTTTTTTCTCCACTGGTTTTTAATCACTAGTCTTGTCTGACTTTGGGGCTCCTGTTTATCGGCCGTCAGTCAGGCTGTACAGCCAGCTGTCTGTTTGCTTGGCTGTTCACAGTGTAAATGCCAGTGAGACAGGGAGGGAGAGAGAGAGAGAGAGCAAACACATGGAGATGCAGATGGACACACACACACACACACACACACTCTATCAGCAGAATGAAAGTGCTTTCTGGCGGTATATGAATGAGACAGTAAAGAGCCCTTTTCAGCCCCTCTACCCGGCTTTTATTAACACTGTGCATCACTGAGGCGACATGAGCCCCCACACCCACACCTTCTGTCTGTCCCCCCCTACCCACACACAAACACGCACCCACACACAAGCAGAGGGGGGTCTCCTGTTCAGGTATGATGATGCCCCCTCCCCGCTTTTTCCCCTCTCCCTTTTCTCTCATTCCACTTTTCGGTTGGCTCCTCCTCACTCAGGGGCTTTTGTTACCTCACCCCCTCCTCTCCTTTTACACCACACCTCCCTCCTCTCACTCTCTCTCTCCCTCTGTCTGTTTGCCTGTGTCTCTGAATGGAAATATGCACAGATGCGTAAAGGGGCGGTCAAACTCCACATATCCACTGGTGGCAGCAGCAGCATCAGCGACCCCATCTCTTTGGTCAAGAGAACTGAGCAGGGGACAAACAGCTATTCTGGACAATTGTTCAGGCCTCAAGCCGAAGCCCGAGCACCAGCTTGGAGTCCACCTGTTTGAAACCGGACTCTGTTTGCTCGGATCAAGAGTCCCAACAGCCTGGCCAGAGGACGCAGGGAGCCCGGAGGCGAAGCAGGCCCCGCGGTGTCCCGTCTCGGATGCGTGGATGCTCGCTTCTGCTTGATCTTTTTTTCCCAAGCTGCTGTTGCTCGTCGGTGGCGATCCAGAAATAGCAGCATCCTGTAGAGGTTGTGTAAGGAAGCGTCCGACGAGGTTTATTTGCGGTAGTTGTTATCTTTTCAGCGACGATCCCTAAAAATTTTCTCTCGTCGCCTCTATTTTGAGTTTCCTGCTTTGATACCACTTAGTGTGCCAGAGTCTTATTAATTAGCGGCTTGATTGACAGCTACATAATTGGATTTATTTCATATCCGCTCCTTGAAGTTGTGAGCCTCTTAGCGCTCGACAGGAATTGTTCCTCGGGTTTTATTTCTGTAGAAAAAAATAATAACCTACCTACTCTTCACTTGTAGGGATTGAGGGCGTGGGGTGGTGGGGAAGGGGTGTCTAATTTTAATGCAGTCACTTGCCAAATTCCTAATCCTTTTCCAGGTCATTTCTGGGGTTTATGAGGCCCAGGTATGCAGGACAGAACCAGGCAGAAGAGAGGGATTATTATTCCTTATTTCACTTAGAGCTCAAAACTTAACCTTTGCTGCACTGCCTCTGTTACTGAGTTATATTAGTCAAGTCTTAAAATATTTAAGTTGATTCTTCTGTGAACAAAGTGGAATCATATTACCACTGGCAGATTTTTCTAAATTAGTCTGAATAATGTTTATAAAACTTGTTAATCTGGCTGTGTTTGCAGCAACAGGTGCCACCATGTTTACTGCTTGAAAAGCCACTTAAACAGGGCTTTTAACAAAAATACATATGTTACATCAACACAAATGCCTGCTTTGTGCTTGTATGTGTGGCACAAGTGTAAGATTTTCACAGCTCCCTAAATGCAGTTACTGCTGTGTTTATTCATTCAGACATCTATATGATTGAATATAATTTATTTAAAAAAAAATACACGCCACACAAAGTTAAAAAGTTTAGAGTAGTCTATGTGTAAAATGTATCAGGAGGGTGTATGTTTCAAAATAAATCTTGACCAAAATCCATTTGTAGATGATATACATATGAACTGTATTTCCAGTACTTGCAGATACTTGTTGCCAAGAAGAAAACTTCATCTGAGTTACAAATGAATGTTGCACATAAATGAATACATTATCTTTTCTTTTTCAATGTTTAGACATCCATGGAACAGGTAGGTAGACTAAATATAATGACACTAACAGGACTGTACTTTGGTGCCTTTGGAAATGCTTAAGAGGAGGGAAAAGGATTGTATTTATGGTTGATGAAATGGAGATAGAGTATAATATGTAGTGTGGATATGTGTGGAAGAAAAAGGACAGACATCTGTGGGAATCCAGTGTCAAACAGAACTTTCTGTGACTGCATCATCTAAAACACAGCAGTGTTTGAAGGTTAATGGGTCAGTGGTCTTCAGGTTCTGATTATTGTGAGCCTTCGCTGCTAATGCAGCTGCACTGGAGACAATGCTGTGGGGATAAAATGCTCATATCAGTTCTTCTGGGTAAATGTTGGCACACCTCAGCACCAGGTGGCATCATTTGTTCATGAGGAGGCTTCACATGCACTTTTTTCCCATTTACTCACACACTGTCTGTCCTCTGGTCAGTGTGTTGTCCATTCTTTGGCCCATAATGTTGTTGTGTTCCCAGTTTACCCAGTAGGCAAGGCCCAGTGTCATCTTTTAGCGGCTCTCCTTTGCTTGCTGTTATGTTGTTTTTTTTAGTTTTCTAGGTCTCAGGAATTTTACTAGATTGTCTATTTGTCATCTTCCAATGCCCAGTGCGCTGTATGGCTTTTTATTCCTATCTGACTGTACTAATGGTTCATATAGGGATGGAAGCCATGCAATGCGCTGGGAGCCCAGCACACTGGACCATGGACTCAAGTACTGTTATCACACACACTAACAGACATATGCACGCACACACACACACGCACATTATGTATAAGCACACTATCAGGAGGTAATATACTCACTGAGGGTAATGCACACATTTAGGAGACTTGAAGTGAAAATCTTTCTCACAGTCACATATAAATATGGATATAACTGCACCCATAAACGTACATTCACTTATGCCTATGCATGTAATAGGTATGCATATGTATGGTGCAAAAGTTACACATACACAAAGGGCAGAAATGGTCCCTCCAGCAGCGTATCAGTCTAAAACTGTCTCCTGTATCAGTTGACACATGGCTCGCTGAAGTGAAACACACACATCTTCCACAGCATCCTAACATGATCGATACGGATCACATCAGAGCAGACTGAGAATTAAATTGAACTAAAATGAACCAAATTGGTCAAGAGTGAAGAGGCAGAACTCTTTCAGAGGAATCACAGAGACCTGTCACAAAATAACAAGATAAAGAATTCATTCAGTCATGGTGCTTTACCCATAAAATTCTTATTCAGTGTCCCAGTGGGATGAAGAGAGCATCTCAGCGTGCACTGGGTGGAAGGCAGTGAAACTCCCAGGATGTGGCTGACACAGAGAGAGAGAACTATAACAGAATTCACACCTGAAGCCACTTTAGACTCTGAAGTCCTACTGAATACTGTGCAAATGGAATGCCAGGTGAATAGAAGCTCTTTTTTGTTAGTGAGGTGACTGATAAATTGTGATAGTCCAGCTCCAAAAAAAATCAGCAACAAAGACCACATATTCATAATACCTTCAAAACAGAGTAGAATCTCAACAGTGTATAGGCTAGCATAGTATCAGAAAGCACATTTTACACTTAAATCTTGAGAAATAACATTTGTAACAGCAGAATTGTAACCTTTTTGAATCTTTATAGAGTCAGAACATCTATCACAGTGAAATGACTAACTATACATTCATAACTGATAAGTCATAAAAAAGAATAGCAATATAAAGATTTAAAACTTTCTTGTTTGCTTCTGTGTCATATGACCTAAAGTTATAGAGTAGATACAGTGGTTGTGACTCCTTATCTTCAGACCTGGCTGCTAAGAATATGTCCTTATTAGTCAGGTGATTTTGTCGTAGTTGGCCAGAATTGTCTAATGGTCCTGTGCACACTGTCGAATCTATTCAGCATCATACTGAAGTAAAATCTTCATCTGAATTTATAAATTATATTATTTTCTCTTTTTTGTCTGTTTATTGTTACACTTCCAACACATACACCATGTATGAGGTAAAGGTTATATAAAACAAGAGCTAGTGACACAATTCCTGATTTTCTGTATGGCAAAGTTGAAGAGTATCAATAATGACATCACTTTAGTTTGAGTAACTTTGTCATGGGGCTATAACACTGATTTAAAAAGTTTATAAGCTGGATTTGCAAGGTTTTGTGCAAAGTTTGTGTTATATACTTTAGCACCATTTAGCATTAGACAGCTAATGTTTTCCTTATAACAGTATCGGGAAAATTACGCAGAAATCTGAATAAGTAATCCATCACATTGAGCAGCGCAATTATTTCATTTATTTTTCGGTTATATTAATAATGTACAAAGCAGTGGCAATGAAATGTCACAGTTCTAGTGTGATGCATTTACAGTATTTGGTGATAATAGCAGATGTTTTTTTGCAACATTACAGCTGTTGCAATGGGTTTATAAGTAGGCAAAATATACATGACTATGACTGTACAAAATCTGGTACGGCCTCTAATGCCAGCAGCCTGCATTATAGGAGATCTAGAATTATATATACAGTAGGCATAAAAGCCATATATAATAGACCTTTGTGCCTGTATCCCGAGAATCTCTTTTATGAAACACCAATAATGTAGTTATTGATGTGTCATTGCAAAAACGGTCAAAGCTCAAGATGGCATTTTAATATCAGGAATATTTGAGGAGCTGATACAGCGACAACGGGCTCTCGAGAAGACTTCACCTGTACCTAAGTCTCAAATATAGCACAACACCGCCCCTCAGTGTACAAAATGCGGTCTTGCACTGTCAAAAAGAAGCCGTAGTGTGGGGATATAAACTGTAATTTAGCTTGAAAAGGAAAGAGAATGAAGAAGCTGGTGCAATATTAGCCGCCACGAAGAAGAAGTGGCGGATATGACGTCACGGCCGGCCTCTAAAACAAATGGAGCATAGGCTCATCTGTTATGAAAGCTGCTCGGCGAAATGTTGGATAACTGCAGTTTCCTTGCCCTTATGCAACACCATGTGGAAATCTGACTGACTTCCGTTCGACTGGTTTTACTGAAAGTAATTTTAAAAAGGTGTTTTTGATTGAGAAAGGCTTGAGACAAGAGAGAAAGACAGCATGGGAAAGCGGAAAGATTGTGCAGAAACAGAGTCTGATACAAAGAAACTGAAGCGGGTGCAGGAGGCAGAGAGCAGTGGGGCAAAAGCAAGAGGGAAGAAGAAGAATACAGGTATGAGAAAGAGTGGTCAACCTTAAGTTTATGGATGAATTAGTTTGGCACTTTCTACTTAAAATCGTGTTTTTCCTGATGCATCGTCACTTACTGAGTGATTTTTGGGGTATAATTATCTGTTTTTAAGGTAATGAATTGTAGTTGATTGTCAGTGCAGTTAAATTATATTGTCATATCAAAAATCACATCTAAAATGATCAGAATTGTGTTTTATGCAGCGGTTCTAATTCTCACACAAATCAAACACTTGTTTTGCTTGGAATCATTAATTAACAGACCTTTGTAAAATGATAACATGACATAAATATATAATTACAACATGATTAAATTGAAAGTTGATATTGAATTATTGACACTCTTACAATGAATTTAGTATGCAGTGTCTTCCTTGGTTACAAAAAATACAAACAAACAAATAAATAGCTGTTTCATTTGTATGTTCATCTTTTATTATTGTTGCTACCAAAAAGACTTTTTGTGCAACCAGTCTGCAGGTGCACGGAAGGTTGAAGGGCATGGTTACCGGAGTGAATCTGCTGCCCCAGATACACATCTGTGCTCCACTTCAGCAAAACATGAGCCATGTTTTTATGTAAAACTGCAGTTTCTATAAGTGGGCTTCCTTTTTAAATAAGTCTTGAGTCATGCGCCATTAGTAGCTACATGCCACATTTGTATGTCTTAACCCCGATGGTCTGCCTGCGTCTATTTGTGTTTGTATCTGTCTTTCTGAACCCTACTTTCTAATGTGAAGGGGACCACAGAAGCCACTGTGATTGTGCCTTTTAATCTCATAAAACATAAAATAAATAAATAAAAAGTGTTTACTATGACCTCTCTACAGAAACTGTGAAGCCACTTTTTTATTTTTGTTTAGCTTTGCATGTATTTGAAGCATTAGTCTGTGCAGTGCAGTACAGAGGTTCACATAGTTTCTAATAGTTATTTTACTTGTTTATAGTGATTATCATATGTTTTTGCACAATGTGATTAAGATTCATTAATGATACGCATAACTTTAAATTACAAGGATTTTAAATTACATTAGGCATGATCAAGTGAGAAGTACAAAACTGAAAAGCATATCCAGTTCATTTCTTATACTCAGAAATGGCAACCTAAAAGCATTTCTTTCTGACTCTCCATCCAGATAATGGTATCACAGTGACAGAGGAGAAGCTTGAGAGAAAAGTCAAAACCAAGTCACGTTCCTCCACAAAACATGTAGCAGGAAACGCTGCTTTCTCCACACCTGTGTCCACCTCTGCTGTCAAAGCCAGTAAATACTTTCAGTCACCAGTAAAGGAGGAGGAGGCTGACAGTGAAGACGATTTTGACATGGTGACCTCAGCAGCACCTGTGGTTTCAGTGAACATCAAGAAAGAAGAAGAGGAGGACGAGGACAGTGAGGAAGATGAGGATGATTGGGAGGAGGTGGAAGGTAAGTGAGGGATCAATAAAAATTTTGTTGGCTTGTTGTGTATGTGATAATATATCAATACATAGTTTTTTAAAATTATATACAAAAGTGAGAAAGTCAGAGCTATAGTATGTTGGGAAAACAACCTAGTACATGTATGTCTGTGTTTATTGTGATGCGCTGTGCTGAACAGAGTTGGCTGAGCCTCTGGGTCTAGTTGAACCACCAGAACCCGTCCTTCCCTCTCAGTCAGTAGAGATAGAGATCGAGACTCCAGAAGTCAGGAAGAAGTAAGTCTGTATGCGTATATGAACACTGACAATGCATGTGAAAGATTGTTGTTTTGCTATTTTATTCATTTGAATTATGTATTAAAAATTATATAGAGACAGGATACAGGGCTGGCACGTCCTATTATTATAACTAATAATTATTATTTCTCATTGGCCAGGAAGAAGAAGCAGGCAGAGTTTGAGACATACATGAGGCGGATGATGAACCGATACAAGAAAGACCTGCTAGTAGACACACACAAGGTGAAAACACACATCTGTGCTTCAACGTTTCCTCGATGATGCTGGTCAGTTTGGTCAGTTACTATCTTGTGATTGGTCTCTCAGGTCCACCTTCTGTGCCTCATAGCAAGTGGCATGTTTCGCAACCGTCTGTGCGGTGACCCAGATTTGCTGGGCATCACCCTGTCGCTGCTGCCCGCCCACTTCAGCATGGTCGCCAAGGAACGCATCGACCAAAACTACCTCTCTGGACTGCTCAAATGGTTCGTGCTAGTCAAAGGCTAAATGTGGAATATGATCTATACAATGATGCCTGAAGCCATCTTTTATATCAGAATGTATAAAGCTCCTGGGAGTCAGTAAGAAACTTTGAATGTGACCAATGATGCATCTGTGGGAAACAAGAAGCAGATTCATATCCAGAGTTCTGAGTCATCTTGTTAGTCATTATTAATTTGGTGTGATCACCTTAATATCTTCTATTTCCTTGTTCAGGTTTAGAGCAACGTTCACCCTCGACCCCAGTCTTCCCTGTGAGGAGTGTGCAGACCCCCGGGCTCTGTTGGAGAGGCGGCTGACCAGCCTATCAGCCAGAAACCACCAGGAGATGACTCATGTTGGTAGTCTTACACAAGACTAGTCCATTTTTGTAAGTGCACACCAGGCCTTTGGGTGCACACACAATGGAAGAATAAATGAAATATATAATTGTGTCCTTGTTTGTTTTTTTTTCTGTAGCTTTTCCTGTTGGCCCTGAGGTCTCTGCAGCTCTTTTGCCGATTAGTTCTTTCTTTGCAGCCGATTCCTTTCAAACCCCCATCAGCAAAGGTACAGTCTGTTGTTCATCCCATTAGAGGATACTGATGTAATTACTGAAGCGATACTTGGTTGATGGCTGTACAGAGAATTCCCTTGTACTCATGTAATCAGAATGGTGACTGACACAACTAAAAGTCATAAAAAACATGTTTCCAATTTAAAGAGTTCCTCTGGCCTATAAACACATTAATTACAGTTATGACATCTGTGTACATTCACACTTACTATTGCTATCACATTACCGATTTCCTTCCCTTTATCAGAGGTAACTAAAATTATTATTACTTAATTGTTTGTGTTCTTCAGAAGATATCTGATTATTGTTTAATTTCATTGTGTTTTGGAATCGTTTAATCTTATCAATGTACTGTAAATAATCTAATCCTTTCTCCAGGGTAAGGGAGCTAGAACATCTGCCAGTGCCTCAGGAAAGAGCCACACAGACCAGGAAACCTCCAAGATCACCTCTCCTCAGTCAAAGGTCTCTCCTGGCACCAAGAGACCAGCAGGAGGGCTGAAGGCCAAAGGAGCCAGAGGAGGAAAAAGAGCAAAGAAAAAAGAAATAAAGGAGGAGGGTGAAGAGGAAGAGGAAAAGGCTTTAACATCTAGAGGACAGAGACCAAAGAACTTGAAACGCCGCAGTGTCGCCTCTAAGGTCAACTACAAGGAGGAGAGCCACAGTGAAGGGGAAGAGGGACTTGGCGATGAGGAGGAATTTCAGATAACCAGTGAGGAGGACAGTGAGGATTCAGAGAGCGAGGCTAAATCTACAAAGGGGAAGATGGGAAAAGGGAAGAGCAAAGCCAAAGTGGCCAACAACAAGAGCACTGTAGCTCCCAAGAGGAGGAGTAGTGGAGAGAAAAACCAGGTAACAGCTGAGGAGGATAAAGAGCAGCAGGAAGCTGACAGTGGTGAAGAAGGAGAAGGAACGATGAATAAGAGAACAGAGCAAAGGAGCGGGAAGAAGAAGGAAGGGCCCGGAGCAGACGAGTGGTTGGAGGTGTATCTGGAAAAATCGTCTTCCTGGATTTGCGTGGACGTGGAGCACGGTGTCAGGATGCCCCACCTCTGCTCCGAGAACGCAACAGCACCAGTGACATACGTGGTGTCAGTGGATGGGGACGGGTTTGTGAAGGACCTGGGAAGGAAATACGACCCCACCTGGATGACATCATCCAGGAAGAGGCGGGTGGATGAAGACTGGTGGGAGGAAACACTTGAACCGTTCCTGGGACCCGAGGATGAGAGGGACAAGAAGGAGGACAAGGAGGTGAGACATACAGGCAGAATGGTATGACCTTTTTTACTCAAAATAATTCATAGTTTTTTGGAGAGTTTTTAGAAATATGTTTTATTGTGTTTCATCTCTTTGTGTGCAGTTATTTTGAGGTTGGAAGAAAACTATTAGGCACAAGTAACAGGAAGCAGAAAAAACAGGCTCCTAAAAGTTATTTAAAAAAATTAAAAGGGCAATGTGATTCAATATAAAGGCTCACGAGCCCTAATTTTTTATTCATCTATTTCTGCTTACTGTATTGTGTTTACACTGTTTTTTATGCCTAATTCTCCACCTGAACTAGTTACAACACGAACCTGGAAACTGCATCTTTATATCTTTACTAATATTTAGTTGATGTGTTTGTTTTATTGTTTCTTCCTTGAGTCCATTTATGAATTTCATACACATTAACAATTAAAAACAACCTCACTTGGCACACACTCAAAGCATCTACACTTAGAATACATTCATTTGATGTATAAAAAAAATGCCAACAAGTTCTTTTTCCTTTAAATTCATTTGACATAATGATAGTAACTGATATATACAAAATTACAGTAGCAGCTGTCGACCTGGTCTCTATCAGGTGCATTCACAACAGATGTCTCATAACAGGAATTTTAGCAGAGGGACAAAGGGACTTTTAAAGTGCAACCAGAGTGTAGTCTAATCCTAAGCAAGAAAACATCTGATGTCCTTGTTTTCACAAAGTAAAGCAAGTCTGTCGTGAGTAAGGATTGCCCCATTTTGTCAGGTTCAGCACTCTTTCAAATTTGCCTTTGTTTTGTGTTTTTCTTGTGCAGCTCCAGAATAAGCTTCTGAACAAGCCCTTACCGACCTCTGTAGTGGAATATAAGAACCACCCGCTGTACGCCTTAAAAAGACACATGCTGAAATACGAAGCCATCTACCCTCCAACGGCCACTGTACTGGGATACTGCAGAGGAGAGCCAGTATACTCCAGGTCTGTAGTACAGTCAGCCATTGATATGTTTGAATTAAACCATTCCTGAAGATGCACCACATGATCTACTTGTGTAAAATATAACATGTGTCAGCCTAGTTTCTTATGATTTGAGCACAACTATGAATTGAAAAGTGGCAAACCTGTTATTTCTAGTGAAGTCATCTGTTGCGTTCCACTTCGAGGGCCTCTAGTCCACATTTCTAGGACAAATACAGTTGATAAGGTCTATCCCCGTTTCAAAGGCTCATTGAAATCTGTGAGAAATGCAGCCATCTTTGGTCTGAATTTGGAGGACACCACTGATGTGCGATCCTTAGTCCAGAGTTCATGTGTTTTGATTACTAGGTATGTACACACACATGGTCACCATTATCTGGTTAATCTGTCACTTGAACTAGAATATTCTAAATCACAGGGTGTTAAAGATAGATCCATGCTCTGTGGATATATTTACCATTCATCTGATAGACTTCCTGCCAGAATTCAGTCATGTGCTGAACATCACCAGTCGTACTGTCACCTAGGCTACTATGGAAGTTTATCACTATGTTCGTCATTTAAGGGCAATGTGCTGGTCATGAACTTGGACCTGTTTTTACTTTCGGAGCTGAGTAGAAGAACCCGAATGCACCATTAGCTTTGGTCTCTGGGAGGTTAGACCATGTTGCTGTGGGAGGAGAAGCAGGTTCAGCCTGGCCCTCTGATGGAGACGCCTTAACTCAGAATTAACTGTGGTTGTGAACACTAGTCTCCATCTGGTGGTGCTGTTCGATTAGTTAATGTGTGAGGCTGTGGTTTTCATCTGCAAGTAGTGATGTGGTCTAAAATATATCAGTGTCTTACTGTTGATGCTCACCAAGCACTGTCTGTGCTAAACTAAATGCATCCATTGGGTGTGCATCTAAAATTATACAGTCATTCAAACCTTGAGGCAAATGAGAATTTCAGCCTGATGAATATTTTCTTCTTGTTATTATCATTAAATCTTCTTCCTCTCTAGGGACTGTGTGCACACCCTTCACTCCAGAGACACCTGGCTCAAAGAAGCCAGAACTGTCAGACTAGGAGAGGAACCATATAAAGTGAGTGTGAGCACTCAGTTCTTTTTGTTGTTCATCTTCAGTCTGTCACTTCTCTTCTTTCAGTTCTTTTCTGTTTGTTTGTTTCTGTTCCTTTGTAACTTAGTCCTTGTCTGGCCTCTAGTCACATCTGTTCAGCTGTGAACATGATTTACATGATTCATGACTGGTGTTACCAAAAAGAGGAACAACTTCAGGCCCTCTGTGAGTCCCCTGCAGAAGTTATTCACTAGAATCATACTTGTCCAGATAGTGAGAACGTCTGCTTGGCCAAAAATATAATCAATATATTATATTAAACTCTTTCACTACATATATGAGTCTGGACAGACATGCTGCGACTTAGCTGGTTGGCGGAGACGTATAACCGCAAGGTGGAAATTCTAGTTATTAATATGGCAGCAATGTTTTTCTGATTGATTTATTGCTTTATTTATTGAATACTTTGGGGAGCACTGATGCTATTAAACCTCTGTTTGCCTTAATTGGATCAATGTACTGAAGGCAGTGACAAGGTTACTGGCAGCAAAAGGCATAACTGAGTGAGTCAACATGTTAATATTTTAGAATGTGAGCACTGATTAGACACCAAGCTAGAAAAAAAAAATAACAGAAAATCATTTCATTGTTTACAGTAGTATTCAGCTGATGTCCAGACTATCCTGTCAGTAGTGAAACAGTTGGGCATATTAGCTGTTCAGCCTCAACTGAGATGAAAAACTCAGTTGAGTAGATAATGATAAAATAAACGTTTCCGTCCATTCTGTCTCTGTCTGTAAGATGGTGAGGGGTTTCTCTAATCGTTCCCGTAAGGCCAGGATGATGTCCGAGCTGAAGGATGAAAATGATCTGGCTCTCTTCGGAGAATGGCAGACGGAACAGTACCAACCTCCTATATCTGTGGACGGGAAGGTACAGTAGCTGTCTTTGTTGGCTAGGATGATAACTGTGAAGGGAAAGGTTCAGTGTAGCGGCAAATATTGCGAAGATACAGCGGGAAATAAATTAAACTTTAATTTGGTAAACAACCAAATGTGTGCTTGCAAATGAAAAAAAATCTATAGAAATGTATTAAAGCCTGTGGATTGTTTTTCTACTTACAGACCAAACCCAGAGGTTTTCAGTTTACAGTACAATGATATGAAAATAAAACTAAAACCAAGAAATTCTTTAGTATTTGTCCTTCATAATTGAACTAAACAACTGAATATCTGAACTGTCCATTAATTAAATGTCTTAAATTCTCAGCATAGTCCTGGTTTGTTTACACGTATGTTCACTTCAGGTTCCTCGTAACGACTACGGTAACGTCTACCTGTTTAAGCCCTGTATGTTACCGGTTGGCTGTGTTCACCTCAGGCTGCCCAATCTGCACCGCGTGGCCAGGAAGCTGAACCTCGATGCCGCCCCTGCCGTCACAGGCTTCGACTTCCATGGAGGATACTCACACGCTGTGTAAGACAACTATAACCTTGTGCTGGGACAGGATCAAACACAATGAAATAGGGCAATGTGATAAGTATGGTGGCATGTCAGTTATTTTAGTCCCTTCGTAGTGTCAGGGTTGAACATCTGCAATCAAAGTTAGAGACTTTCATGGTGGACGCATCAGGGCGTGTGTTTGTGTGCAAGAAAATATTAGCTTGTTTTATTTGATGACTTAATCTCACATGCTTGTGTCAGTATCCACCTTTCAGATCTCATGTCGGATGGGTTTTAAAGTTTAGTGTTGAAATTGTTTGGATATCAAAGCTTGATAAGTTATTTTCCAGCTTAGCTGTTGTGTTCTCAGTAGTTTTTTTTTTTTTTTTTTACATATATTCACACTAATATTAGGGAAGGAGAGATCAAATGTAATTTTAGACAAAGTTTAATGTAGGGGCCAAAATGTATATTTTCTCTGTTTCAGGACTGATGGGTATATTGTGTGTGAGGAACACGAGGAGATTCTCAGAGCCGCCTGGGTCGAAGAACAAGAGCTTCAGAAACAGAAGGAGAGAGAGGTGTGTGTGCGTGTGTGTGTGTATGTGTGTGATGGTAAGCAGGATTACGGACAAACGGCTAGATGGATCATCAGCATACTTGGCACAGACATTGGTGGGAATCAAACCAAGAAGTGATTAGATTTTGGCTGGACAAGGTCAAAAATAAAAAAAAAATCACACACACTCACACATACACATAATTTCTTTATCAAAAGTTCAAGGATTTCAGGACACATTTTGTGTTGCTCTGGATCTCGTTTTTCACAAGGGACCCATGTGCGTGAGCAAATGTTGTGCCTTGCTAGAGCTACATGCGCTCTCTGAGTGCCCTTGTTTTCACTGATTTATTAACTTTTAATATTAAATGAAAACCAAATATTTAAAACCTTTTCATCAGCTTCTCTTCTCTTCCACTTTCCAGAAAAGAGAAAAGAGGGTGATCTCCAACTGGACTCTGCTGGTGAAGGGGCTCCTGATCAAAGAAAGGCTTAAACAACGCTATACCAAGAAGAACCAGAGTTCGGGGAGCCTTGCTCATGGAGATGACACCACTGGGTTTTCATCCGATGAGGAGGTGGGTGAGGGTGGAAGTCCTGGACCTAAGACGGCATCTGAGACTCTGGCCATGTCCTGGCCCCAAAACAGACAAACAGAGGAAGAAGGAGTGAGTGCCAGCGGACTGAAGAAAGACACAACAACCAAACGAGAGAAGAGAGGACAGGCGAAACATCTGTTCCCTTTTGAGAAAGTCTGACACTGGAGATCGAAAACTCTTTTCAATTTTGATAAATCAAAGCAGTATCTCAAAAAAGGACTTGGTTGACTGTTCCTGATATTTACTTGTTCACATTCTTTTAAAGCAAGATAAAATTTGTTCCAGGTGCAGCAGATTTGAAATCATTTTAGCACATCTGGTCAGCCCTGGAGGTTTTGGTAGTAACACTACATATAAGGACGAGAGGATGAGGGAAGGAGAGGAGGAAGAAGAAGGAGAGGAATACTTTACAGTGAACTGATCTTCAGACTGATTCTGTTTCTTCCAGTGGTGGTTATTGTGTGCGTTAAATCTGCTCCACTATCATTGTACATAATCCCAGTATCTTATATTGTTAGTTTTTTGTAAGAGAGCTTAATAAAGTGCCAACACACCAAAGTAGGAAATATGCATCCAGCACATTGATATAGTATTATCAGGTGGTCTGGAGAGAACAAACTCAACATAAATGTGAGAACAGAGAGGTGTCTTTACAACGTCCTATGTGGTGTTAAACATAAGGATGCACTGCTGTTGATTTTATCTAGACAGCTGCGATACACTCATGCTTCTTGTATTCACTGGGTATACTCCTAATCCTGACTAGTACACTGCTAGTTAGACCCTGGTGGGCGTAGTTTCCTTTTCAGTTCAGCACACAGATACAGCACACATAATGCAACTTATGCTGACCATGCTATGTAACAGCAGCACTACCAACAATACAGGCTAACACATGAATTGGAATGAAGACTGCCAACACATAAAATTGTTACTAATTGTTGCCACAGCCTCTCCCATTACTTGATACTGTTTCATTCTATATAAATAGGTTTCCTCAACTTTGCCACTATGTGACCAGTGACACACCAGCATGATGAATGTAGTGCAGCCGTTGTTACTGGCTTGACTGTTCACTGCGTAACCTGACACCCTGAAAACACAAACATGTACACTACTAGTCAAAAGTGTGGAAATCAAATGGGAAATTGTGTCTAAACCTTTGACCAGTAGTGTACTGTTCATTATACAGCTGAAAATTTGTATCTCCAGTTTGTCACATTTGCCAGGATAACACAAACAACCATGATGTAATTATTTGTGGGTTGCAGACAGCTGTCACGTGTGGACCATGTAACCCTTTTCATAAGGGTAGAATGTGAAAATCACAAACATCAGTTACGCTGTTTTATCTTTTCTTAGTTCATAACTGCTGTCCTGTCTCTGCTTTCTTGTTACGCTGCTATGGTTCACTTGTTTGACTTGTATTCTGCTGTATCAGTTGTCTTGTTCAGCATCTTTATCTCACACTCATCTTTTTCACATTTTGGTCACTATTTCACATCTTATGGCTGTATATGTGTGCATACACACACACACACACACACACACACACAGATGATGGCTGTATTTAAAGGAGTAAACAATTTTTGTATGATTAGCGTGTTTGTCAGAAATGTTTAAATACAAGTAAAATGCAAAACAACCTAAATGAATGCTATCTTTTTAAAATAGAATGTGCTATCTGCGCTTGTTCCTGTTCAATTTATTAGAATATTTTTTATGACACAGTTTTTTTCTCAAATACAGCAAAATAGAAAGACTAACTGTCATTACACAAATGACCATAAGATATATTTTTCCAAAGCAGTCACACAGCCTCACTGAATAAAAACTATCACTGGTGGTCATTCTGCTTTTGGTTTCTCATTCCCTTCATCGTGTGATCATGTGGGGATTAGACTTATACTGATTTTAGCAGGATTCGGGGACATATACAGGACACGTTTCCAAAATGTTTTGATGTACTACTTTAAAGATGGCTGTTAAATGTGCATGTGTGTTACATTATAAAATATGGCCACATGTGTGAACAACTAAATCAGTGGTGATAGGCTGTCAACCACACACACATACACATTTTAATGATTTTTAACTGTTTCATATCTTTAGATATTCTGTAACACTGTGAATGTTCTTCTAACCTTTTTGCTTTTAAGGACTGTCACATGGATGTGAGTTTTTGGTTGCAGTTGTAAAGCTAGCTGGTTGTATATCCCTGGATTTATTTAGTATTTAAAAAAAAGAAATTTGCACAAGATTTAATTGAAATGAAAAATTCACAATAATCATTGTAATTTTGCATTGCTAACAACTGACTGAGCTGTTGTGTATTTTGTGTGCATAAACATAAACATCAGCTACATTTGATGCTGATATACAGTATCTTCCTCTCGGTAATGTGAGAACAGTTGTCAGTCAAGTAACCCCAGCGGCTCCCAGGCACTGCTGAGAAGCACAGCAGTGGGAGATCAATTTGTTATAAAGCCATCAATATGCATATTCATCTAGTGGTGGAGCCACAACACCTGCAGTTTCAGTGCAGCTTGTTCCACTTATAGTAAAGGCAACCGAGCAATTCAGGTCTGCAAATTTAATTTGATTAATCACAAATTTGTTGAAAATTTGCTCAACTGAAGCAGAAGATAAATTATGCTGGCTCCCCCCCATCTTGTGGAGTTATCTTGCACCTGATTTTAAGACTCATTTGTGACAAAATTTTTTAAGCAAATGTCTCATTTTTTTCTGTCGTTAATTAACAGAGTCAACACTGCGCAAGTTATTATATCATAGAACCATAAGGCTGCAATCATTTGCATTATCAATTCATATGGAAATTATTTATTTAATAATTTATTGTTATGAGACCTTTTAGCTACAACCAGTGTAGAACCAATGAGGGACCAGTTGTTGTAAGGTGACAGCACTTTTTTGTGTAAAAATGTCAAAACATAGGAAGGAAACATATTTAAATAGCCTTTTTCAGACCAACCGTCAAAAAGTCCAAAATGTTAAGTTTAGTATCATTAAAAACTAGCAAATATTAACGTGTGTTTTGACCTCTTGCATTTTTGCTTAACATGTGATGCAACATAAAATTCATATTCATATAAAACCTCTAAGGCCCCCTACGGATATCTCTTTGTAAAAAGTAAAAAGATGCTGCTCTTTCATGGATTACTGATAAATTATTCATGGACAGATGTAAAGTATGGGTGCTTCTGTCCCAGAGGAGCCTGGCATGAGAGACCGGACGTGACGTCATTGATAGGTACCGTCTAGCTTCCGCCCACCAGCCAGGCGAGCAGTGTGTAAATCGCTCTTTGGATTTTCTCACGCAGAAACAATTTCTGGCTGTCTCCGGAGATCGAACCGAGGCTTCTCTAAGAGGTAAATGCCACCGACTTTAACCACCGGAAATTAACGCAGCGGTTGTTTAAATGTCCCTGTTTACTCCCAGGTTCTAGAGGGCCTTGTTTACATCTCAATCCTCGGACTAGAGTGGGCAAGAGGCGGAGGATCAGCAGGGGGGAATGCTAAGAGGTGGGGGGTAGCTAACCTCGGTAGTTGTTATGCCGTGAATTTTTGCTAGAGGACAAAATTAACCTTTTCTTAAAATTCTTTGCAAGTTTATTCTGAATTCACCCAGCAATTTGACGCGACAGACTCATTGCATTGGCATGCCGTTACTTCGCTGCTGTAGCCTGACTGCCAGCACGTTAGCCAGGGAGCTAATCCGGCTATTGGTACATTAGTCAGTCATTCTGTGGTTTTGACTTCACTTCTGTTTCTGTGCCGAAATCGGACCGAAATGCACGTTGTCCAGCGACTGCCGAACTGGTGTTCACGTTGCTTAACATCGTCCCGAACCTATTCCTTCCCATCCCCCAAGACGTGTTATTAAACCTGTGCTGAGTCGCTGTGATATATTAGCCTAGCAAAATGTATGTCACCCAGTTTTCTGCCTATTTTTAGCTTGGACCGGGCGGAATGTGAGCATTCGTCTGTTCTTGGACTGGCATCGGGACAGACTGGCAGGGTTTCCCGGCTAACCATGTTTCTATCCAGTTGGATATTTGCGAAGTCACATTTGAACCCCGGTGCCAGCAAGCTGCTTTGACCCGGTGTTCGTTGACCATAGATCGCATGTAGGACTAGGTCTACTTGGCGCCTCTGCGGTGTCAAAGTTTATCTTCAGCGGTACACACTCAGATTAGGCGATTATTTAACACATGGTACATAGAAGGGAGACACGTTTTACCAAAGAGGAAATACATACTATGTCAAATTAAAACCGTTAATAAATGAGTGAAGAAATATAACAAATGCAGATGCTGGCCTAGTTTGAGGGAAGGGTACCTGCAGATCCATACAAAGTTGTTCTGTGTGATCACCTTTACCCTGTGATGAAACCTTTGTACCCTGATGGGAGTACATCATCTATAGGGCATGAGGGATCACTGAATGGCTTGATGAGGATGAAAGCGATGTGAATCATATGCTATGACCTTCACAGTCGTCAGATCTCAACAAAGTTGAAAACCTATAGGAGATTTTGGATTTTAAGACAGCGCTCTCCACCACCATTATCAGAACACTAACTGAAGGAATATTTTTTGGTAGAATGGTAGGTGTTTCTCTAGCAGAGTTCAGAGACTTGTAGAATCAGTGCCAAGGTGCACTGAAGCTGTTCTTGTGACGCACAATGGCCCAACACCTTACTGAGACACTTTATGGTGGCTTTGCCTTTCATTTGTCACATGTCTGTACAAGCTACCCCCTCTCTCCACATTCAGAGCACACAATGCAGACAGTGAAAAAACTGTGTGAGAGCATGGGGAAGCCCACTCTGACAAGGACTTATAGTTTTGCATGACACTGGTTCTGCACAGTACAACCAGGGAACTTCCAAAGCATTTTTTAACCTGGGAAGGAATTCTTATTGCTCTGCCAAATGGATAGACAATAATGGGGAAAGACATGGCAATCAATATCACAGTATTTGTTCTTTACTGACAATCTCAAATATTTTGGAAGTCATAGAGGAAATCTGACTGGATTCAGACACAGGCATGTTTGTGATATTTTAATTAATCCCCCATGTGATTACTATTGTTGGTAAAAAAACAAACAAACAAAAAAAACATAGAGGTATTGGCCAGGTCTTTGCTGCCATTTGTATCCCAAATCTAGTCATGCATCAATGCTTTGCTGCTGTGTGCTTGCCGTTATTTTGAGTTTAGTTTCAACTGAGACATGCTTTTTGTTCCATTCTGTCTGTTGTTACTGCCCACAAACCTAACTGCATTTGTGGCATGTGTGTGTGTGTCTCTCTCATTAAAGTTAAAGTCACAACATTAGGCTAACCCTTAACCCAAGACTTGTGTCCTGCATGTGTTTAACAGGTCAACAGTACTGTAGGATTGAAAAATATAGGATATGTGAGCAAGAGCTAATTTTAAATCCTGTCTTTGTGACGCTCAGTCCAAAGCTAGAGGCTGACACGGGAGGCAGAAGTAGGGCCACAGAAAGAGGCACAACTAGAGAGAAGCAGATTGTTAGGAAGGAAATACAGAGGAGGGTGTGGCAGTTTTTCTTGACTCCTAAGGCACATTTTCTGATACAGTTCACAATTTTCTCTAAACTACACACATTCTTAAAATGATGGTCACCACTGTATTACCACTAACTTCCTTGTCAAAATAAAATTTGTTCTTAGGCAAGACACACATCTATTAAAAACACATAATGCATATATGCCTTACAGCCTGCAGGATTTATTTTAAAACACTTCTACCAAAATGTTTTTTTTCCTGATATTGATATTTTATGGCCAACTTACATTGTTTATATGATGGCACTGACCATATCAAAAACCATATCAGGAACACACTGTCAAGAGACAGAAACAACACTATACAGCACTTCACCTTTGAAATGTTGCACTGACAAAGAGAGCAGACAATTTTCATTTGTTTATTTCAAGCAAATGATAAAGTGGTTTGGACACACTTTCCCATTGAACTGAATGTGAAAGTGTGCATGAACCTTTAACTGGCATATACAAGATGAACAAATGCTGTATCATATATCCACACTGCTAAAAACCTGCATGCTGTAGGTATAATTCCAACTACTTTCCTCTGGGTTAGGTCAGACCAATATAATTTCACCCACATCGCATTAGATCTTAACCCTTGCCAGGCAGTGTGTGTGGGCTCTGGTGTGTCTTATCCACCCTTGGGTGGCTTCCAAAGACGCATCCCTACAGGCCTCTTCTGTAGTGATTATATGTATCGATTTATTAATTGTATTAATTCTCCAGTTTTGCTACAAAGAACGCGGAGAAGTAAAACACCAGGGCTCACGTTTGTGCACACCTGTTTATTTTGCAGTTGCAGCCCTGAAGAAAGTCGGACTCACCTTAAGTAAATTTGGTCACAGAGTATGACTGATCACTCACCGTCTGGAGCCCTAGATTTCCTAGCTGAGGGAACTGATCATAGTGTGATAGCAGTCGCAAAAAAACACATTTCTAATAGTAGCAAGTCACATGGTGAGCATGGTAGAGTTGTTTTCTAGCCTGCAAAGCAAGTTAACAGTTTGTCAACAGGCCACACAGTTCACTACATTCCATCTTGGTTTATGCAATAAGCCATCATTTGTAATGAAAGGTCAGATCAGGTGTTAAGTAGAGAAGGTGGATGATAGAGAGACAGCTGAACGTTGTACGACAACTGCCTGGTGGCCCTTGTAGCTCTGCAGTGTTGGGACAAGACATTATTTGTTTTCATGAAAAGGTAATAGGAAAACATGTTTCATCCTTCACTGGCCTTTTTGTTTTAACATTACACATATATTATTTGTGGAAAATAAAGAAACCACCAAGATATTCTATTGCACTGGAATATCTTTTTAGATGAGGCCACAGTTACCACTACATGATAGCCACTCTGCTTCTGTTATGGGGTGCGGCTCAGTTTAAGGGAGTTAATTGACTTTTGGCCTATTTGAAATATAATCAATTCTCTGAAATCAGGTAGACAGTGTATGAACAAAATGCGTTTTTAATACTGGGGATCTCTTGTTGTCAAAGACTTCCCAAAGTTTTTAACCAGTAACCTTGACTCCAGTTTTTAGTGGCTTTCGTTGTGCTTGCATACATTCCACCTTTTTTGCTCTTGATACTATTCAGGTCTAGGTCATATTTTTCTTAGTATTCAGATGCTCTTTAGTAAATATTGAATTTCTACACATTTGGGTAAGTCTAGAAAGTGTATTTGAAACAGTTGGCAAAAACATTTTTATCAATTCAGACACAGTCTAAACTTGCAGGAGACCCACTTGTACTTTGCTTGTTTAGATTAAGAATTGTATTTGAGAATTAAATGTAATTTATGAAAAAATCACTAATGCATTTTTCTCTTTCTCTTTTCTTCTCTTCTTACATTTCTTTCTCACCTATTTGTCTCACTCAGTTCGTTGCTCACGTGCTTCTTTGCTCCATCTTCTGCTTCCCCCCTTCTCATCCCTATTGTCCTCTCGTCCCCTCTTCAGTCTTTTTCTCTCTCTTCAGATTGCCCGGTTTTCCCAATGAGTGACGGGGAGTGTGACTTCTTCTGCTTCTTCCGCTGCTGCTGAGCGCGCTTCTTACGCGCCTCAGACAGACAGGAAGGCAGGGTGTCTCTGAACAGTTACACAAGCGGGTGGACGGGGGCAGGGAGAAACAGGGAAGTAGATCTTCAAACGAGCCATTTCAGCCAATCGGGCCACTAGAATCCGACAGGTAGGCGGGACGTCTACCTGTCCGGGTGATTGATTCAATCGACTGGATGTCTGTGGACATGAACAGCCAGGCGTCAGACAGCAACGAAGACGACTTCGGGGTGAACTCTGAAGAAGAGGAGGATGATGGAGGAGAGGAGGAGGAGGACCAGGGTGACATTGCAAACTACTATGATGGTGTAGCCAGCGACGTGGAGCAAGAGGGTGCCGTCTCCTTTGACCCAGAGGAATACCAGTTCACCTGTATGACCTACAAAGAGTGTCAGATTGTGCTGACGGACGAGGTGAACCATGTGGCTGTTGCACTAAAGGTGAGGAATCTGAACATAAACTGAGCAAAAACAAGGTTCTGGCAAACTGGTCAGCATATTGTTTATAACCTCAACAGACTTAGCTTTCAGACTGTCCTTAATGGCCACCACACACACTATAAAACACTTTAAAGCAAAATAATCTGAAAGGTTGTTTGCTGTGTATTGCACCAAAGAATAATAAGAACCACACTAATTTTTATGTTGTGCAAAGAGTAGAACAGACAGTCTGGTCACTCTTCTTGGTCTCAGCCTCCTCTCCATGATTAATGATACTGTCACTGTGTTAAGCTGAATTGCAAGAGTATAAAACTGAGATTTGAGTACAGCTTATAAATGCTAAAAGAATCGCATTGAATGCTAATCACTGTTTCATGCTTGCAATTGTATACGAGTAAGTGATCGCAGAACAAATTGGAGATGCCAGAAAGTTGGCTAGTTTTGCTGAGCTGAGGGGAAAATGCCATTGTGGATAAGTGTAGTTTTTGTTTATAGTAGAATGACATCTTCAAGTTTTGATTTCTTTCTAGTGTTTCTGAAAAGCACATGAGTCGAAGGCTGGTACAAGAGGAAAGAAATGTCTCCCAATCTACCAAACAAGTGTCTATTTAAGATCTACAATTATTATAGATTATAATTACACAAAAAAGGGGTTTCTATAAGCTTCATCAAACTTGTATTGTAGTAAAAAAAAAAAAAAAAATTGGTTACCTCTTGTGTATTTACACTATGGTGCAAAAGGTTTAGGAACAAAAAGTAAAGTGAGGAGGCTTTCAAAATTAATGCCACTAGGTGCAGTTGCACACCCCTGATGGACACAATGATGACACCAGGGCCACTCTATTGTATATATTAACATATATACACATATTTGTGCATGGCACACTTTGCATGTTGGGGTTACAGTTTAATTAAATTATCAACCTACAGTGGTTGAGCTGAGTACACTCTTATAGCAAGCTAATTACAATTTTAGTTTGACAGTTGACATTGTTCTGAATCCACATATTAATGTTCATACATTCTTACACAGGGGCTAAAGGAACCTGATTCTCATCATCTTAAACAAGGCCTGTCATGCTTCTCTTATTTTTGCTGTATTCATTTGGGCTAACTTTGCTCAGTGTGCATGCTGCTTTGCAGAAACACTTCACTCTGTGTTGGAGTCAGTGTAGCCTTTCTGTTTTAAAACATCCTGCACATCAGTAATAGCGTCAGCTTTTTTATCAGCTTCAGTAAAAACGGCCAAACTTGCAGCGTATCACTGCAGGTTACCCAACTTTATGGACAGCCAAGTCACTCAATCTGTTGGTGAAGCACCATCTCATTGCTTTAAATTGAATATGAAAGAAGCAACTTCTCATTGGTCTCTCTCCTTTTGTTCCATCTCTGTCACTCAGGTATTGCCATCAGTAGCAAAACTGATCCTGGTGCATTTTCACTGGCAGGTTTCACAAATACTGGACAGGTATGTCCCTGCTTCTCCATTCATACCTTTTTTGTTTTTTTTACATTTTCATTCTTGCAGTCTTCTTTTCCTCATCTCTTTTTATGCTTCACCTGCTTCTTTAATTTGCTACCTTCTGCCCTTTTTTCTATCAGTTCTCAAGTCTTTTACTTTTCCTCTGTCTCACTCTCTTTGTCTTATTATATTTGTGTGTCTATGTTCCCTCTGCAACTGTCTTCTCTCATTCAGAGTTCATTATGTTCTCACCACTCAGTTATTTCACTTTTTTTTTTTCTTGTGTTTCTCTCGACCACTTACTGTTCTGCGCTGCAGTTTTAAAGTTTTCTGTCACTTATGCTCATATGACCCCTGGTTCTGTCCATGTTCCCCACAGATATAAGTCCAACTCATCCTTGCTGTTGTCGGATGCTCTGGTCCAGCCCAGTATCACCTGCAGATCAGTCACTGTGAGTAACAGGCCACAAAAATAAGTGTTTTATTCTTACCTTGACTTAGATTTTGTGGCATTTGCCCTTCCTTTGTGTGAACTCTGTTTTGAGTAAACAAAACATACACATGCATAGTTAAAAATTGTGTAAAAGCCATAATAAAGTCAAAAAATTGTTGAAGACATTATTCACTGTGGGTGAACTTAACAGTTTGAGTGTAGTGGTTTCTCCCACCCACTCATTCACCGCTGTAGCCATATTTATGGCAAAGTAACTAGTTGACTGACATAAAATGCTAATTGATTAGCTACTTGCGTCTTTTATTAGGCTAATATCCTGTTTTATTTTATTCTCTATTTTACAAAACAAAACAGTGGTGTAGTCTTCCGATGTCAGTTACCTTGTTGATTTGATTGTAGTGTCCCATTAAATAAGCATATTGTATCTTATTGTATGTAGATTGAGTTCTCCAGTGCAGTGTGTGTATTTGTTGATGTGTATCTGACTTGTGCGTTTGTGTGTTTTAGGCCCCTCAGTCCCTCCAGTGTGGCGTGTGTCTACAGGTCGTACGGAGAGACTCCCTGCTAGCTCTGCCTTGTCAGCACTCTTTCTGCAAAGCATGCTGGGAGCAGCACTGCACTGTCCTGGTCAAAGATGGCATGGGAGTGGGTGAGTACAGTGTGTTTGTGTACATCTGTGTAGTCATCAAATCTGGTATAAGAGTGTGCAAGTCACACTTGGTTTGATCTGAACTCCCAAGTGTCTGTTCGTGTATTTGTATATCTGTGTGTGCCTTTGTATTAGTTCCATTATGGGGACCGGTTAACACACTCACAGTGTGGGGACTAGGCCTTCAGGAATCATTGAATTTTAGGGTGACAGCATGGTTTAAGGTTAGGTTAGGTGTTACGGTGTATTTGTTCAAGGATTGATCAGAGTTTTAGCTTCTTTTTTAAGCTTGTTATAACCTCTGCTTTCCTGTCAGATGAGCATGGTTTGTAGACTGGTGTTTAGCTTAACAAGACAAGCTCCATCAGTCACTTAGTACTGTCTTTAATGGCCGAAAACACTGCAGATCCTGGCTGTTTGTGCACAAGTTCATATTTGTTTACATGTTTCGGTATGTGTGTCAATTCCAAGAGTGGCTTGTGACGTTGAAGTGAAGCAAGGTGTTGAAGAGATTCTGATGACTCACATCTGGTGTAAAATTTGCCAGGCAGGCGTGCTCCTACAGCAGCCTCATGATTATTAGTGTGTGTCTGTGGAAGAGTGTGCTTGTGTCAGCAGGAGAGCAGATGGGTGTGTGGGTGTGTGGACGGGTCAGTGTTAGGTTTTGTACAGTATGCTGTACATACAGTTATCCAGACTACCTGCCCTTTGAGTGTGTGAAAGCATAAGTGTTTTTCTGTTTGTGTGTGTGTGTGTGTGTGTGTGTGTGTGTGTGTGTGTGTGTGTGTGCGCAGTAACTCACCGTGTGTCCTAGTGCTACTTTCCAACAGCCCCTCTGATAAAGTTGGTCCATGTAACTGAGTCCTTCTGACTCCAAGTGTGTCTCTGTTAAGCTGGATGAAGGACACATTAATAATGATCCAGATCCAGCTTCAGGCTCACTTTAACACTAAAAACCAGTCTGCGTAAACCAAACACGACTGCGGTGGAACCTTCCCAAATACATGGCTGTAATGTATTCGTGCATTAGTAAACACACAGGTTGCAGCCTCTGTAGGGCAGTATTTGTACTTGCTGTCAGTGACTCTAATATATTGGTGTATGTCTGTGTGTGTTGAGGTATCTCGTGTATGGCTCAGGACTGTCCCCTGCAGATGCCAGAAGACTTTGTCTTGCCGCTGTTACCAGGAGAGGAGCTGAAGGACAAATACAGACGCTACCTCTTCAGAGACTATGTTGAGGTGTGTGTGTGTGTGTGTGTCGCTCACAGCATTGGAAAAATTACATATAAAAATTCAACACCTCTTCCCAGAAACTATGTCCCTATGACTCTGGATAATCCACAGAAAAACATCAAGTTTCTAATGACATTAGGACTGCACAACTACTTTTCATGGCTGTTTCTTTATAATTTGAGTGGACCGATCCTTTAAAAAATAATAGCACTGCTGAAGTTGATCCAAATGTTTTTAGTTCTGTCCAAGGATGAATAATAACAAACATCATCAAAATGATTCATCTGTCCATTCTGACATTCTTTGTGTTACCTGATCTTCATCTCTCTCACTCTGACCTGCAGAGTCACTTCCAATTGCAGTTGTGTCCGGGTGCAGACTGTCCCATTGTCATCAAAGTGCAGGAGCCTCGGGCGCGCAGGGTGCAGTGTAGCCGCTGTAGTGAAGTCTTCTGGTAGGACACATTCACAAATCATGAAAATATACAAGAACTACACTCTCATGCATGCAGAAACATTAGGCTTCATTCATAAATCATGTGAACAGTTTTCATCCTAAAAGTGAGCTAAAATCAATAGATTTGTTTATTTATTTGGGACAATGCACATTAATCAATTGTGATATTAGTAACATCAGTGTAAATGTGCCAGGGTTAGCTCAATAGCTCATTTGCACCTGTAGTCCCAACCTAATTAAAAAGACAAATAAGAAAAACATTCACATTATACTGAAGATTATTTTTTGTATTCTGCAATGTTTTATCCAATTAAGAGCAAATTACAATCCTGGAAGTGGAAGAAAATGAGGTCTTGAAATATTTTTGATAAATTAAACTGAATTTTTGAATTTACATTTTTTTTCTCCACTCCATGACGGCATGGCACAACTTATAGATGGATGCACAGCTGGCTTTGTTTAAATCTGTTTCTTCTGTCACATACAAGTATTTTACATTTAGTTTAGCCCTCTAAGTGACCTGTGTTGTTTGTTACTACCCCATTAAATAATTTCAGAATCAGCCCAGAAACTTTTAGCTTAGTGCTTTTGTAAATCCCATGCTAATATTTAAACGACTCTAATCGTGGAAACGCAACACTGCTGCATATTTGCATATTTTATTATTATCTTATATCTGTAGAAAGACCTTTTTATACCTTAGTTTATCATGAAGCTGTTTGTTATATTCATGAAAACAGTAAAAATGTTAATCTTTGTATTTTTTTTCTCTGTATTAGTTTTAAATGCCGTCAGATGTACCATGCACCCACAGACTGTGCAACAATCCGGAAATGGCTAACCAAATGTGCCGACGACTCAGAGACAGCCAACTACATCAGTGCACACACTAAAGATGTATGATTGATCTGCCTGTGAACACACACACATAATTTAGATTTGTAAACTTACATGGCCACAGAAATTGTCCAGTACAGAATGAAAGGGGATTTTAAATGATGTGCATTTCTTCTCCAGTGTCCAAAGTGCAATATCTGCATTGAGAAAAATGGAGGGTGCAATCACATGGTGAGTCAAACTGAAAATCACACTTTCTCAGAACACAGGAAATGCTAAAAATACATTCTGATTCTGAGAGTTGAAGTCCTCAACTTTGATAGATAAGTCGCTCCTGTATACGGTTGCTTCAGAAAATAGTCAGAGCCCTTCACTTTGTGTTGTGGATGTAATTTGAAATAGACAATTGTTGCCCATAAATCTACACTCAGTGACCCCTGGTGACAAAGTGAACACATTTTAACAAATTTTTACAAATTTATTATAAATCAAAAGTGGATATTTCTGACTTACAAAAGCTTTCGGACGCTTACTTCGGTAGTTTGCAGCAGCCCCTTGGGCAAAAGTTACAGCTTTGAGTTGCTTTGGGCAAGTCTCTACAAGCTCTACGCACCTGGATTTGGGTATTTTATAGAGTTGTTTTTGGCAGATCTTCTCAGGCTCTGTCAGACAGACTGACTTCTATCTTCAGGTCTCTCCACAGATGGGGTATGTCCGGGCCACTCAAGGACAGCCAGGGACTTGTCTTGTCGTGGCTATGTGCTTTGAGTCACTCTCGTGATTAAAAATGAGCCGTCACCCTACTCTGAGTTTGTTTGCGTTCTGGAGCAGGTTTTCTTCTTTGTCCCTCTCTCAAGTCTGACCGGCCTCCCTGTCTCTGCTGCTAAGAAGCTGCCCCAACCATGCTTCGCTGTAGGGATGGTATTAGCCAGGTGTTCACTAGACATAGTGCTTTAAGTTCTGCCCAAAGAATTCATTTTTTGTCTCATCAGACCAGAGAGTCTTTCTCATCATGTTCTCAGACCTTGAATGTCATTGGACAAATTCAAAGCAGGCTGTCGATATGCATTTTAGTCATCAGTGGCCTTTCTGTCTAGCCACATAATGGCCTAGTTGATGGCGTGCTGCTGAGATGGTCATCCTTCACCGTAGAAACATAACTCACACTGATAACAAAGTGTTATAAAGATTGTCCCATCTTTGCAGACGTCTTCTGAAGCTCTGTTGGAACAACCACTGAGTTCTTGATCACCTCCCAGACTAATGGGGACTACATGCTACACTATGGGCATGGCCCTCTCTTCACTGTATAGTGAAGATGATGGTCTGTTCATCCTCTAAACTAGACATGGAGAGAAGATGGAGAGTTGATTAAACTCACGAGGCTGATGCGCCTCAAAGATGTCGAGATGCACTTCAAGTATTTAGATTTAGCGGTTTAGATGTAGCGATGAGGTCACATGATGCTACAGAGTCTGTTACTAGCAAGGAGCTGCACAAAGAGTTTCAAAAAATGATTAGCACACTCCAGGTGCTGGTGTAGTGGCACAGGGTTATGATTTACTCATGGGGAGTTTGCAGCAATGAGCAGGCAGCCTGCTTAAGGCCCTTTGTTACCAGTTACCCAGTTTGGCCAGGCAGCCAACACTTTGAAGGGTCCTGGTGACAACCAGATTTTTCCATTTCACCACTGTGCTCCTGGGAACAATCAAAGCTTTAGAGATGGTTTATACATATACCCTGATCTATACCTCACCACAGGTCTGCAGAGAGCTCCGTGAACATCATGAGTTGGCATTTGTCTTGACACAGTGTGAATTGTGGAACCTTACATACACAGGTGTGTGCCTTTCTATGTTCACTCAGTTCAGTTTGCTACACGAGACCTCCAGTCAAGTTCTAGACACATCTAATTAATGCAAGCAGGATGCACCAGACCACAGTTCTGAGTGCCAAAGCAATGGGTCTCAATGCTTTTGTAAGTGAGAGATTTCACTTGGCAATGTTTTAAATAGATTTGCACAAAATTCTTAAAACATGTTAGACTGATGGGTAAAAATGAGAATTTCTGTCACTTTAAATTCAAATCTACAGCCACAATAAAATGTGTAAAAGTAAAGGAGTCTGAATACTTTCTAAAGTAACCATATGTTACTTGTTGTTACTTTTATTATATTTTTCACAGCCTATAAGCTTCATGTGTGTACCATCCAGCTGTGTTAAATCATTCACTGCATAGCTCTGTATAGACATTCACTTACTCATTGTGTCAGACTGATTTAAAGAGAGAGTGCTTGTTTGTAAGGGTTCTGGTTTATTATTGTAACTTCCTCCTGTGGCTTTCTTTGTTTCAGCAATGCTCCAAATGCAAACACGGTGAGTAGTTTTTTGACTTATAGTTTTACACCTTGTGTATGATCCACTGAAGCATCAACTTGCTGTTGAGCCAGGTTTTGTCATTTAGATCGGGAATGTGATTAAAGCAAACTGGTTAATCATCTGGAGAAATGGAAGATGTATCACCAACCTCGGTCAGTATCAGCCGGTTTAGAATGGCTGTAGACTTGAGAAGTCGACTGACCCTGTGATGCTAAGTGTAAACGGTGGTTTGTAAACTTTGTGCTTTATGTACTGGGCAGTTTATAATGGCGTGTTTTGTTTCTCCTGACAGATTTCTGCTGGATGTGTCTTGGTGACTGGAAGACTCACGGCAGTGAATAACATGAGCAGCTACAAAGAAAACCCGGATATAGTCAACCAGAGCCAGCAGGCTCAGGCCAGAGAGGCCCTTAAGAAATATCTCTTCTACTTTGAAAGGGTGAGATTTTTTGGATCGTCTTTTAGAGTTTGCTCAAATAACATAAAATAAACATTTATTAAGAGCAAAAAGGGTACACAACTTAACATATGGTAGATTTACCCTTGACTTCAATAAAAGATAAGCATTGCTCAGAAATTAATAAAATTAAATCATTACCCCCTTTTTGGCTGGTCACAATTTTTTTTTTTTTTTTTTTTTTTTTTTTTTTTTTTTTTTTTTAATCTCTATCCCACCAGTGGGAGAATCACAACAAGTCTCTGCAGTTGGAGGCTCAGACATACCAGAGAATCCAGGAAAAGATCCAGGAGAGAGTGATGAACAACCTGGGAACCTGGATTGATTGGCAGTACCTGCATAATGCTGCAAAGCTACTAGCTAAGGTACTTGCACAGTAAATTGTGACAGTGTGTGTTGTGGTTGCAAAGGTGGATAGTAAATGATGTGAAAGGGTAAATGCAGAATAACAATATAGGAAGTGGGCTGAAAGACAGATGTACATGGTATACAGTAAGTATTAGGGCTGAACGATTTGGAAAGATTATCTAATTGTGATTTTGTGTTTGTTTTTAATGAGAAATATTGCAATTTAATGTGCCTTTTCCCCCGTGTGTATTATTCACTGAAAATGAGCTTTACTGTAAATGACCGCAGGAAGACAAACCCAGCATCCTCACATGTTCTAGTGGTGCTGAGGGTTACTGCTGTTAAATGTACTTAGTATTAACTTGGTATTAAATTGTATTTCTGTTTCCCTTTCCTCTGTACTAGTTAATTAGTTATAGGCTGGAGAGTCTGAGATTAGATTTTCTTTTCTTCTGTCATTCATAAAATATTGCAGACTTTGAGCATTCTGATGAAACCAGAGCAGAAAATGAAGCTATATAACATCACCCTACTAAATAAACTCAGACTAGTTCCCTTTTCATGTCTTCTTATGCTGTAGGCTAAAACTTGACCGTAGTTCCCTTTTCATGTCTTCTTATGCTCTTAAACTTGACCCGTGTTTGCACTGGAATCACTGGGAGCTGTGGTCCTGAATCTGTCAAATTTGTGGCGTTGCCTCACATTGTGTTAAAAATGTTGTCATCCATCAGCAATTGCAATGAAGACCTGTGATTATCATCTTTGTCACACCTCTTTTGTTGAAATGTCATGGTGCTTTTCTTATTGTGACACTGCCTGACTTAGTTAGTACATCATGAATGTGTATTTTGTTTCCAGTGTCGCTACACACTGCAGTATACGTACCCCTATGCCTATTACATGGAGTCTGGCCCACGCAAGAAACTGGTAAGGAACGAACTCCTCTCCCTACCTTTTTGTTATTGCAGAACACATGATATAATAACAATAATAATGTTGGAACTATAAGGCAGAGTCCTGCACCAGGTGAAAAATATGTTTATATTAAATCACGGGCAGGTAAAAATAGATGAAATGAGGTTTGGTAGTGGGTGAATTAAGCATTTATATAAAAACATAAAGGCGCAGCTTCTTTTAAACATTTAATACAGCATCATTTTGTCAAGACTAGATAAGGTTATTGTGAAGGCTTCTGGCACAGCCTTTGACTCCTTTGACTCACATCTGGCTAATCGAATGTGACTCAGACATCAATGTAGGCTAGGTGTCAGTGGGTCAAACCGGATAACTTAAATGGCTAGTGCTGAGGACAAAATTGTGAACAATACATCATCGAAGGCCAAATCAGACATATGGGAGAAATTTTTTTTTTACAGCCTGTGGGAAAAAAAAAATGTCATCAGCAGCTCACCGGTTTGGAACAAGTGAGAAATGGTGTTAGCAATCGAAAGCTAAAGGCTAGGTACTTCATCACTACTGAAATGGCCACCAGGAACCCAGGCACTGCATCAATTGACAAATACTTTTTCAATAACTCAACTCTCAAGCTTTTTAAAGTTATGACTGTGTAGCTTTGCATTGTGGGTCAGGTCACGGGTCATATGTTACTGAGTTGGGTCGGGTCGGCATGTCATTTAGAAAAAGCTAGGGGTAAAGGGGTCACATCACATGTGGAATTTTGCATGTGTGTGGTTGCAAAATTGGACCCATGCAGGACTCTGCTTTAAGGATGATCTTAGTTTCTTCCTCACCCTCCTTCCACCACCTCGCCTACTTTGAGTCTGTACCCAGTAATGTTAGTTGTGCCTATTCATTAGTGGTGTTGAAGGTGATTCATTTGACCTGATTTTTAAAATCTGTCCTTCTCTGCAGTTTGAGTACCAGCAGGCCCAGCTTGAAGCAGAGATAGAAAACCTGTCATGGAAGGTGGAGCGGGCCGACAGCTATGAGAGGGGAGTGGTGGGAGGTGAGGGGGAGCTCAGCGCCAGTGACAGAGGGGTAAGAGAGGATCATCTGGAGTAGTAGCAGTTGTCAGTGGGAGGGAAGGGAAGAAGGAGTTGAACTCACTGATTAAGGATTCTTTTTTTTTGTTTACAGGACCTGGAGAATCAGATGCACATTGCTGAGCAGAGACGACGCACACTGCTGAAGGATTTCCACGACACCTGAAGCTCCATCGTGACTGCGAAGCACCAGCATCTCCCTCCTTACTTCCTTCCTGTATTTGCTTCCATGCCATGACCATCCCTTGGTGCACCCTCCTTTTGCTTCTCTGCACTCCCTCGTTTGCCTCGTTCTTTCTGTCTTCCCCTCCTCTGACTCCCATAATGCTGCAGGGTCACAGAATGGCACGATTGTATCTGCCTTTCCTCTTCTCATCCTCACCTCATTTCCATGTTTTGGCTTCAGAACATCAAATCCACTGTGGTTACACATGTTGCAACTTTTTAGATTTGATCATAAAGGTCAATTTTGGGTTTTGTCAAATGTCTGAAAACAGTGTTTATTTTATTTTACATTAAGCATTTAGACTTTGATATAATCAGCTACAGCAACATGTGTCCATCAGACCTGTTATTCTCCAACATTATTCGTGTAATGCTGGACTAATCCTTAGAGACAAAAGCACTAGGGGAGATCAGACCACTAAGGAGGGAGAAGCCTTTGTCATTAGGCAGGTGAGGAAGATGTGGGTGAAGAAACTTATTTTAAAGAGGGTGCTGGATGTGTATTTGGTGGTTTTCCATAAGACCATAATGACCAGCAGGGGCTTGTTGGTAGTAGGTGGTATCTGTGACACATACTAGATTTATCTGAACACATGCAAAGTTCACAACTTTCCATATATTGTAATTTCAGTTTCTTCACCTGGGCTGCAAGAGGTCAATGGAAACAGTTCTCGATGAACCATTTCAATGCCCTTGCTCTGCTTCATTATCAACCAGGACAGGTGCAAACTGACATGCCAATGAGCATTTCTCAGTGGCAGATTATGGACACCTTTCATGGTAAAAACACTTTTTTATATTCTGTCATAGATATGAATATGGTGTGTTTGCTGTGAAAAATGTGCAGGTTCCTTAAAATACAGTATTTTCCTACATATGATGCATGTTCATGTACACAGGATATTAAAGAATAAGATGAATGTGTGTTTAGATGACAACCTTTTTAGATTTTGTTGCCAGTGTTTCACAATAAGCACACCTTCCCCCTTTGTTTGTTTGGGTTAGTGTCAAACCAGGAGGTGCTCCAGCCACTACTGCCACTAAATATTTACTAGTCTTTATGGTCTAAATGAAATTACTGAATTACTTCTCATTCTTTTTTCTTTACGCTCTCATATGTGTTCAGCTAATTTAGCCAAGTGTGAGCCTGACATTAGCGTGTTCACCTTTAGTGATCAGATGATAAAGTTGTTTTGAAGCAGCAAGTGTAATCTCAGCCGTTCACGCACACTACGCCCACTGACATAGCATGTGCATCTTAACATTCATGCTCAAACACTCCACTGCAGAAAATAAACATTAATTGTTAATTTGTCTCCATACCCCATCTTGTGCTCTCTTCCTTTTCTTTACATTCATCCCCTCACTTTATTTTGCTTTTTATTTTCTCTTATGTTTCTGCTCACGTTGTTCACTTTTCTTTTGGAAAATGGCTGATGATAGATCATTTAAAAAAATGAGAAAAAGAAAAAAATACAAAAAAAATTGCTGTAATTTTCAACGGTTGTACATTAATACGGAAATAGAGTTACAGAGAGAGTTTTTAAAACCGGACCCTGTTTCTTGTGTATTCATTGCACTCGTGTACACACACACACACACACACACACACACACACACGCACATAAACAATGGAGCAGACCTTTTAGATAGAATGTTGATTTAAATGGAATGGAGTCAAGTAGAAGTGATGTATTTTCAAAAATGTAGCAGGTTTTTTGTCGCAACTAGTGTTTTTTTTTACCATATTACACAAGGAAATGTGATGTTTTACTTATCCTTGTAGCAAAATATTAACACCTTAAGAGGAGGTTTATATTACATTTCCTTAATGTAAGGAATGATGTCTTCCAATCTAAACTGCCTGGAGACTGATTTTAGTAGAATAAACCTTTAACAAATGGAGATAAAAATGCAATTAAGATCTATAAATACAAGCCTTTTGGCCATAATGAGCCTCATTTAACAGAATTAATCTTTTATACCTTTAATCTTTACTGTAGTATAATGTGAGGGTACATGCAACATAAGAACAGTATTTTCATATACAGTCAATATTGTAATTGTACATTTACAACCCTAGTTCCAAGAGATGTTGGGACTCTGTGTAAATTGTAAGTAAAACTGAATGAAATGCTTTGAAAACCCCCTTTACCCCATAGTCATTTGGTAACAATACAATGATAAGCTATGTAATATTCAAATTAATATAATCTATACTATAAACACTTGGTTTTGTCCTTTCACACATTTACAGCCATGTTCACTACTGACCCTTCACCCAATAGAAAATGTCTGAATCCGCTTACAGGTGTGTTTTATGATACATGTTGTATATTCAGAGCTGCTATAATGCTAAGTACCTCTGGCGAGTTTTTAAAAGTGGAGTGAAGTCATTCATATCCTTAAACAGACCAACTTTGAGGAGTGAATGTTCACTTGCTGCCTAATATGCCCCACACATTGGCAGGTGCCATTGTAACAAGATATTCAGTGTCATTCACTTCACCTGTCAGTGGTCATAATGTTATGTGCCATTGACTGATTAGCTACTGTATATTGGCATTTGAGAATCTGGTCTGGTCTCTCACATCTGTGCTGCAAATGTGAACAATAGAAAGAATCATGCATACATTGAAACTGTATAAGTTTCCAACAACAGTTTGAAATGTGAATTCTCTGCAAAAGAAAGGTGCATTGCAAGTAAATATATCATAATATATTCATAATATGAATGTGTCTCAACAGTTGCTCCAATGTTGACACATGATGCAGAAACCTCAGGACACTTCTGATATAATGTGCCTTGTTTCTGCTGTAGCCTAATAGAGTTAGTCTGAATGTAATAGTATGCCTTAACCTATTGTGTGTGGCCCAGTTCCCCCCAGGAAGGACAGTTCTATGGGCTGTAGGATATTTTGAAACCACTGGAAAACAGGATGAGTTCAGATAAATTGAGCATGTTTTACATTTTAGACTGTGATATTCACCAGCCTCCTTCTACATCCCAAAACAACATACAGTATGATGTTTCCTGTTGCTAGAGTTTTGACCTCTTCAGGTCTTTCCATCTGTGGACCTTGGCAGCGGGTGAAGTGCCAGAAGGTTTTGCTTTGACTATATATTTTTTCGAGATGCAACATATTTTTAACTGCGAAAAATGAGTTAGCTCGTTCAGATATGACTGTAAAATAGTGTTGACTGTTTTCTAAGCTAGTATGCAGGCCGACCGGATGTGACGTCCCAGCGCCTCTGGGACATGAACGATGCACGTGTTGGAGAGAGCTGCAGAAAGGACATGAGCACTATGAGCCCCCAGCTGAGCTCCCAGCTGAGCCCGGTTGTCAAGCAGGAACAAGGTCAGCTACAGTCTTTATACCGACATTTTCTGCCCTTGTTGTAGTCATTAATAGACGACAGGGGCCGTTTCGGAGTAGGACCACGGTTGGACAGATAACGGACCGAGAAGGAGAGTCGACTGTGGCGGCAGGGGAAGAAAGTTCTCGGTCTCAGTTCCTGGGCCTGTCTGTATTTTGTATTCGGTCGTCTTTTTAGCATCTTCTTGAGCCGAATTGTTAACCATTAAACAACAGAGGAAGATAAAGAAGAAGCTTTATTGTTCAAGACTGAAGGCAGGATAATTTGGACGTCATGGCGGACTACCTGATCAGCGGACAGACTGGTTACCTTCCCGACGACGGGCTGACGGGACAGCAGCTGTTCAGCGGAGGAGACGGGCTCACATACAAGTAAAGACACATTCCCACTCCTCTGTCCCGGGACAACCAGCCCAATGAATGCCTATAACTTAGCTTAGTGTGCTAACAGTAGCCTGTCTTGTAATAAGTGATGCTTTATTGTAGCAGATTATCAGTAGATGATGAATGAGTGCTGGCATAAACCCCCCTTAAAATCCAACCGGTTCTCTGACCTGCGTCCAGTTTTTGAGCCAGCCCGCAACATTTCATTTAGTCACTGATTAATCTGCCAATTTCTTGCTCAGAGAAACTTTTACTACCTTAGCAAAGACATGGACCCTGTAAGGGTCAAGCTCCAAAAAGACTGGATTCTACGTTTTTCAACATGCAAACCATGTTATTGGAGTTATTTTCCAACTATTGAAAGTTCTCCCTAGAGTTGGATTATACAGTTTTCACAGGCTTAGTACTTATGGCAAGTAAACCGAAGTTCAGAAGTTTAAATCAGTGAAGTATCCCTTTAAATGTCCAGAGTAATCACACATTTATAATAGACAGGTGGTGTCTTACAGTACTTTTTTTTTTTTTTAGCATTCATAACCCAAAGTATTAGACTCAAGAAACAAGGAGGAAAGCTTTCTCAGATCTGCCTGCTTATACATACAAGAAAACAGATGTTACATGGTTAAGTAGAAATATAAGAAAACAGACATTCATCCATTATCTGGTTTTCAGTACAACGTTTGCACAACTGGTCCCCCGTCAAACCCCATCAGTGTTTTCTGACTGCTCTGAACTTTACCCAGACACTAATTGTTTTAATGTCTAAATTACACATTGCCAGTCAAAAGGAACAAAATATAACCATTGGGTTTAGAATGTGAAAACAGGGGTGTAATCTGAATTTACAGCCTCTTGGAAATGGGAGACAGGGACACGCATGCCACTTTTTACACACACTGTCCTAAAGTTACCTTGTGCCTTCCACAGGACTGTGCACCCCGGCTATATTTAGCACATCTGCTTGGTAGACTATACAACACAGCACAAATAGTAGCGTGATGTACTAATCTATTGTTGGCTCCATCTTAACATTGCTTAGTGTGACCAGCAGCCAAAAAAGTATTAACATTACAATATGAAGGTGGATAATATATACTCATAGAATTTAAAAACGCACCACTAATGCGGTGTAAACACTTTGCCCTTTTTGTGGGAGACTGCAGTGGACAGTTTTCAGAGATTTTATTGGATTAGATGATTAATCAGTGAATTGGAACAGAAAAGTCACACCCTGACAGTGATATAGTGCTGCATTTAGTAGTTCTTCAACATTGAATGACATATAAAAGTTTAATCTACATTAGGCCGACCTCAGCATCAGTGAGCCTCGGGCGTCCATAACCCTGTTCACTGTTTGTCCTTCCTTAGACACTGTTGGTCGGTACTAACCACTGCAGACCGGGAACACCCAACAAGATCTGCAGGCTGGGAGACTCTCTGACCCGGTCGTCAGCCATCACAGCCTGGCCCTTGTCAAAGTCACTCAGATCCCTATGCTTGCTTGTGTTTTCCAGCTTCCAACACATCAACTTCACAGACTGAATGTTGACTTGGTGCTTAATATGCCCCACACGCTGACAGGTGCCACTGTAATGAGAAAATCAGTGTTATTCACTTCACCTGTCAGTGGTCATAATGTTATGGCCGATGACTGTATACCAGATGCATTAAAACAAAAGGTGGAGCTCAGTTTCAGTTCTCACTTTTGCTTTGAGGGTATTGTTAGGTTTCAGATTACCCACTAAATCTTTCAATTCTTGGCTTTTAATTGGCTGAGGCAGAGACAGAGCTGTAAGGAGGGACAGGCCGTGTAAGGAGTCATTTTTTGCTGCCCTGACTTTTCTCTTTGTGTCTTTTTCAGTGACTTTCTGATTCTGCCGGGCTATATCGACTTCACAGCAGATCAAGTGGTGAGGACTAATATTCATTTACCAACACACAAAATCTGATTAACATCGCCATTGTGGTATTAAACTAATCTGAATCTGAGATGGTTGCCGAGGTGGGAGCACGTAAATAGAGAGTGAGGATTATCATCTGTGCATCAGGAATAATCCCAGAATCAGGCTGACAGCACTTCCATAAACTCAAGCAGTAAATACTTCCCAGAATTTACAGTTGTGTACAGAGTGTATGTTTTGCTAAAAGCTGCCACTGTGACGTTTATGGGATAATGGCAAATTTTAAACTGTAGTGTGATAGTAGCGTAAAGTGTGAGCAAGCAGACTTGGGGCTGTCTGTTGTAAATGACAATCTTTAATAGAGTTGTTTTCTTTGCTTAGTGACAAAATGATTTTTTCTAATAAAATTTAAGTATAAAATGATTTCATGACAACCTCAACAACAGTCAAACTGGAAAATAATTTAGACAAATGATTTGACTTATAGACTACAGTATATATGCCTTTACATCCAAGCTGTGTCCAAATCCGCATTACAATAATTCAAGCGGGTTTTGATTAAATTTAATTTAGTGTTTGCAAAAGGAAAGTGACAGAATTAAATACACTGAACACAGTCGGTATGTGGACTGGAAAACACACCGTCATGATGTTCATGTACACCATTGTCCCACAGTGCAAAGCTTTTAGGAAAAATCAGACGTAAAAGATTTGTAGAAGAACGTTTTGCTGTCTCTTTGTGAAGTTTAGTTGGTGGCTTTATCTATTCCACTGCCTTTGCACTAAATATTTATAAATACGTATGTATATGTGTTGATTTCTTGCATACTAAGTGTAAAACAGCATATAATAAAGAGTGCATAGTGTGTTCTGTATACAGATGGTATGTACTATGGGCTTGGTTCACAGCTGGTCATAGTAGGTGAATGACAGGTTAAAAAAGTAATTTTAGAAAAACTGTCAAAATAAGCAACATGCCACCACATGCAGAAAAATGTACTTTATGCAATCAAATGAGTGAAGATAGATTACAACACTGCCACCTAGTAGTTGGGGCTTTGAAAGCAAGACGGAATGAACCACTGCCGTAAGTCTTGGCATGTGAACTGTTAGTTAAAAATATATAGTGTTTTTGAGAATCAGTACAGTATCTTAAAATGTAATATTGCAAGATTCAGGTGTATCAGTAGTTTCTTATACCCCTAGTCACAATCAGTCAGCTGTCTCAGAAAAGGAAGCAGCTAAATGTTTATACTTGTGCTTCCATGTGTTGGTGTCTTCAGTGGAAAAGGACAATTGGAAGGATAGAAGGCTGAACTGTAGATTTCCAACTTGTCTTTTATCCAGGACCTCACATCAGCTCTCACCAAACAAATCACCATGAAAACCCCCTTTGTCTCCACTCCCATGGACACGGTCACAGAGGCCAGCATGGCCATTGCTATGGCAGTAAGTATGACACACAAGACCGCAGTCTGTTTGCTTTGTTTGATTGTCACTTTTGCATACTATGATGCTCACACACACACATGTATTGTCTCCTCCCAGCTAACGGGTGGTATTGGGTTCATCCACCACAACTGCACTCCAGAGTTCCAGGCCAATGAAGTTTGCAAAGTCAAGGTAGTGATGATGATCTATATAGGCTTTTTTCCTCATTTCATTTATTTTATTTTTTCTTTTTATTTGCTACAGACTGTTTTGCCTTTCCCTCTCTTCTTTCCACCTCCTGCCTTTCTCTTAGCAGTGTGACGACTCTTCTCTGCGGTCAGTCTTCTTATTGTATGTTTATCTTCATGTTATTAATCTCTTCTCTTTTGTGTTTGCTTTCTGGCCTTTTAGTTGCTGGGGTTATAGAACCATGTTTTTCTCTGCATCCTTTGCGCCTCGACTGTGGAGTGTAGGCAGTTAATTCTTCGCTCTGCTGCTCCTTTCCCTCACCTTCCTTCCCTCTCTCTTCCAGCGTTATGAGCAGGGCTTCATCACAGACCCTGTGGTGATGAGCCCCAGTGAGCGAGTGCGGGATGTCTTCCAGGCCAAGGCTCGCTATGGCTTCTGTGGCATCCCCATCACAGACAATGGAAAAATGGGCGGCAAGCTGGTGGGAATCATCTCTTCCAGAGACATCGACTTTCTGAAGGAGGAGGACTGCGACCTGCCGCTCAGCGAGGTGGCTGCACTCTAGACATAGGGAGTTCAAGATAGGACAGTACTTTGCACAAAGGATTAGAGGTCTTTCGATACAGAATTTTTGACACTGATGCAAGGATATTGTACAGTTGAAGAGTGAACTCTATAAATAAAGTCAACAGAAACAATCCATATTGTGATCAAATAATAGCACCACAGAATATATCGGCGTTTGTTCCATTTTGGCTGAGAGAAGAGAAAAAGTGACATATTGAAGTAGGTTTAAGTTGGATCTGTGTTGATATTGGGCAGTAAACTCTAGATGAAATTAAAATATTACCTCTCCAAGAACTAAACATTTGAGAAATACCAGAAGTTGTTACATTCTCAGAAACCTACCCTATGGGTTTAGAGTTTAGTTTCAACCTGCTGCTGTCACATCACAGGTGATGACAAAACGAGAAGATCTCGTGGTCGCTCCAGCTGGAGTGACGCTGAAAGAAGCCAATGAAATCCTCCAGAGGAGTAAGAAAGGTGAAGAGGATGTTACTGTAAATCTGTTTCTCATAAGAATGATGTGATTTGCTTGATCTTTTTAGCAACCCTATGTATCATTTCAATAAAAAAATGGGCTAAGACAGATTTAAACCTATCTCTCTCATTCCACCTACAGGTAAACTGCCCATAGTGAATGAAGAGGGATCCCTGGTGTCCATCATCGCCCGCACGGACCTGAAAAAGAATCGGGACTTCCCTCTAGCCTCCAAAGATTCCCGGAAACAGCTGCTGTGTGGCGCTGCCATCGGAACCCATGATGATGACAAGTACCGACTGGACCTACTGGTGCAGAGTGGCGTGGATGCCGTTGTACTGGTAAGGCAGAGATGCCGTTTATAGTGAGGACAGGGAATAATAATAATAATAAACATGACTTTTAAGAGCACCTGTCAAAACACAGTTACAAAGTGCTTCAGGAAAAGAGATGCAGTAGAATCAAACAGCAAAGCAAAGATATAAAAAAGAAAAATAAATGATAAAACAGTAATAGAATAATTTTGAGTCACCAGTTAACCTATCCTGCATATCTTTTGATTATGTGGGGAAACCCAGGCAGGCAAACGCCACACACAGCCTTCTTGCTGTGGTGCAACAGTGCTAACCGCTGTGCCGCTGTCAGATGCATTTGCGCTGTTCTGTTTGGAAATGTTTTGGACTATATGGTGCAGATTTGACATGGCTGCTTTTATTCCTGAGCTGATATCAGTTTTATTACTAGGAAATCAATACTGGAGCTGCTGGTGGGGAACACACTGGAAGTGAGCTCCTTCACAGACTCACCAGCACTTGGGGACAGGGCAGAATGGACATTAAAATCAATGAGGCAGAGACTGGACACAGTTACATTTGCTCCCATTGAGAGTGTTAATGAGAGATGATCCATGTGGGATGGTGGCCTTGATCTGTGGGAGCACATTTAATGCTGTGTGGACTGCTTAGATTGTTTCTGGAGTTGCTACAGGTTAGGTTGTCTGCTGGCTCTAAAGTGATGTGTTGTAGATGGTGATGGCACATGTTCCTTCTCTACCTCCAGGACTCGTCTCAGGGCAATTCAATCTTCCAAATCAACATGATCAAATATATCAAAGAAAAGTACCCCAGCCTGCAGGTCATCGGAGGCAATGGTAACTACACCTTTTACTGCTTTGCCTACACACTACTGTGTGCACAATACCCAGAAAAGGTATTTCCACTGATCCCAGTTACTCATCCCAAGCAAAAACTGTTGAACTACAAATGTTTGTACATTTGCACTTGTCAGACTGACATGTTAATGGCTTATCAAGAGAATGAGATCAGCCATGTCACAGTTCTCAGCCAGCAAACTTGCCGAGTGTCCAAACAAGTGGCTGATGACAACTGAGTTATAGGGGCTTGTGAATCATTTTGCTTACAGATAAAACGGTCATTATCCAGCTCTAATAGTTTCTCTTTCTCTCCTTCTGCTGCAGTGGTGACTGCAGCTCAGGCTAAGAACCTGATTGATGCAGGGGCGGACGCGCTGAGAGTGGGGATGGGCAGTGGCTCCATATGCATCACACAGGAAGGTGAGCGACTGACTGAACACCACCACCCTCACTGCTTCACAAAGCAGCCAGCAGCCATTATGAAGCCTCTAATGTGGTTACTGAATCTGTCAGTAAAAGGGAGAAAGGGAGGTTTTAGTGGAATTATGTGCAGTTTGTCCTTTTGTCAAACTTTGGTTGACTTTGGTTTGGCAGCAAGAAGTGCAATGTTAAATGTCTAGTTTGTGTTACTGATCCTAATGCCTGGATCAGACAACACTGGATCAGCTTGTCAGTGACACGAGGGCTGGGCAAGCAACAGTTTCATATATCCCATGTAGTGTGTTATAGTAAAAGAAAACTGGCTTTACAGGAGGTTCAGGCAGAAACAAGGACATTCGATTATGTGCCTTCTCTTGAACAGTTTAAGTTCTCTGTGATACTTTGGATCCAGTTGTTGTTCCTGATCTTGGAGCTCTCCTGCCTGATTCCCTTTAGCTGCGTAGGCCGTCAGTTTCTCAGCCAAGTCACTTTAGGATCTATAATGAGCCGGTCTGACATTGTGACTCTGTGAAAAGTCTGATCCTGAGTTTAGACATAAAGTTGTTTGTTAGATTAGGCATTTAGGATTGTAATGACTCATTTTCTAAGGAAATAGAAGCTGATTTTTAACTGGACTAAACTTCCTTTAGTACAGAAATAAGTGAGTTTGGAATCTAAACTGTAACTGGGATACATTTTGTTGGAGTTTGTCTGGCATAGGTAAGAAGTATGTTGTTTACCTCAGTGCTTCCTGTTGTCTCTGGCCTAAGCAGGCAAATCATTAGCTGCTTTGTTCTTCATTTTCCTTTTCTTGTTTTTTTTTTTTTTTTTCCATTTATGCGTGTCATCTTCATACCTACCTCCTCCCTTTTCTTTTTCTTTCTGGTTTCTGTCTCTTGAATTCTCTCCCCAACCTCCCACCCTGGTGTTTGTGTGTCCGTGTCCAGCTCCCCTCAGTGTACCACCTGCAATAAAGCTCCACAGCCCCAAAACCCCAACTACTGTTACGGGATACTCCAGTAAGTTTCCCACCCTCTGTGGCCTGCGCTGGGCTCTCATTGGCTCCTTGATCACAGTGTGGCCCCCGCCCCCCTACATCCCAGCCTGTGGCTTTGATCGGTTTGCATCAGTAGAAGTAGTCGATGTAGCGGTAGCAGGGTTATTATGGCCTTGGGTGTTTTGGGGTTTGGGGGTTTTTGCTTGTTCCTACAGCCTCACTAATCTGAAATGCCCAGAATGAATGTTGCTCTTCCTCCAGCCACTTTACTGACCTGCTGGTCTGTGGGTGATTTAATCCTGCTGAGACACTGTCCACTTGTGTCTTTTTGTTGATACTATTGGTCAGGCAGTGGCACGTTGAGTCCAAACCATGTGTGTGCTGCTTCTGTGACACGACTGACCCACCAGTGATGTAGATGGTAGCCACAGGGTGTCTCTGTTCAGCAGAGGAGACAATGCTGATGGGCTGCTTGGGACCAGGCAGGCTTTGTTTGAGCTGTCTGGTAGTCAGAACAGCATATTCAGTTAGTACATGCAGTGGCACGCCTGCACTAAGCTTATGATAAAAGGTACGTCCAGCTGTGACTGTTGCAGTCCAAGGTGCCACACTTTTGACTTGTAGCATGGCTGCATGACAATACCTGTCAGCATTCATCAGCTCTGTGTGTCTGGGAAAAGATGAGGCGATTTTTATTTTTACGGCTTTGTCAGATGGTTTTATGTACGTTTCTGAAATGACACCTGAACCAAGCAGTCACCAGTTTGATTTACTTCGTTTTTGAACATGCACTGTGATCATACCAGGTTTGTCCCAAAAGAATACAAAAATAACCAAACCTGGGAATGTTGAATTAAATTTTTGTTTGTTTCGGAAGTCAGCACTGTTTTACTAGAGTTTGGGTTTTGGTCGTTGACAGAGGAGAACGATGGTTATATACAGTAACCCAAGATTCCATCTCCTTAACTGCTGCACCTGTACATGCCCATAACTGCTCCATATGGCATTTCCTCTCTTAGATGATGGAAGCAAACACCTAGCATGACGATTTGGTTTACTAGTTGGGTAAGTACCGTGCAGCCCAGAGATCACAGGAAGCAGAACAACTCTAGTGGGTAAGAATAGGGAATTGGAATGTTTCTCTTTGTGGGACTTTATAAATTTGAACATCAGTCTTGCGTACTTGAAGGTGAAATCTTAGAATTGGTCGACTAGCAGCATTCAGGTAATAATTCATGATATATTAAGTGAGATGGATGTGAAGTCTTAGTGGTGTGGTAGTTGTCTGCTGATGTGGCAAGTTTAACTTCCCCATTCTAACAGAAATGGGCATGTTCCCAGCCTGTCTGCTTTTTTTTCTTCTCCCCCCTTTTTAAACATCACTTCCTGGGGCTTTCCACCACGCATGCTTGTCCAAGTCCGGTTAAATACTCTGAACTCAGTTTGGATGTCTTAATGTCAGTTTGTTAAATGATCAGTTGATTCTTAGCTCCAAAGCATTTGTTAAATTTCTACTTTGCAGCATTGTAACATATTAAAGAAGAGTGCATTAGAGCCCTGTCCCTGTAAACATATAATTATCATATGGAACAAATGGATAAGAAATGGGAGCCAGCATTTTCCTCTCATTTCCAAGATTATTTTGTAAAGCATTGGGTGGTGATGTTTCAGTAGTGTCCTGTTAGGTGAAGGACTGTTGTATTGCACAGGACCATATTGTCATGACTAAGTTCTTCCTCTATTGTACACATTTTCTCAATTCTATCCATCTCTCTCTTCTCACTACATCAGTGCTGGCATGCGGCAGACCCCAGGCCACAGCTGTCTATAAGGTGTCAGAGTACACCCGACATTTCGGTGTGCCAGTCATCGCTGATGGGGGGATCCAGACTGTCGGGCACATTGCCAAAGCCTTGGCACTGGGAGCATCCACAGGTATGGATAGAGGGATGCTTCTGAATCAGCGTGCAAGAGTTTATAGTTAAAATGTGGACATTGGATGAGACAGATACTCAAATTTTAAAATCAATTTCTGTAGTCAATTGTGATGTTTTACATGAACAGATTTTCAGACTTGGACTGTAGTTTTCACTGCCCTCCGTGAGAAATTGTGATTATGCAAAACAAAAGCTTTTCTTCCCCATTTTCACTCCATTTAAGGCTTTGTCTTAATCCTTGCTGTGCAGTGATGATGGGCTCTCTGCTGGCTGCCACCAGCGAAGCTCCCGGTGAATATTTCTTCTCAGATGGCATCAGACTGAAGAAATATCGTGGCATGGGGTCCGTAGATGCCATGGACAAAAACCTGGGCTCCCAGACCAGATACTTCAGGTACAGAAACTGTCCCCTAAAAGTGCTTTGTATTTATGACAAAGCATTAATCAATATTCAACACTCATGCAAATAGACAAGGTCTACAGGTTAAATCGCAGCAATGCAAAAGCAAGAGAGGAAAAAAGTAAATGTGGCTGTTCCTGTCCAGATTACACACCAGTCTCACCACCCAAACACTTCTTCCTCATATGATTTTCAGTGGTTTTCCTAACATCAACTTATTTCTGCCTTGTGGTAGTGAAGAATGATGAGTCTACTAAAAGGACAGAGTGGCAGTCATTTTGCACAGCAGTGCTTTAAATTCTGTTAAATCTTTATTTGGGCTGAAAAGTAAATACAACACTCATGGAGTTCATAAAATAAAGCATTTTAATTTATTCTCCTTACTATGGATTAACTCTTAATCCACAAGATGTAGAACATCATCACCTTTAAATGTCAGTGAAAGACAGGATCCATCTGAAACCTGCTGTTCAATTCCTCTTTTCCTCTGTCCTCAGTGAGCACGATAAGATTAAAGTTGCTCAGGGTGTTTCGGGAGCAGTGCAGGACAAAGGTTCCATCCACAAGTTCGTTCCATACCTGCTGGCTGGCATTCAGCACTCCTGTCAGGACATCGGAGCCAAAAGCCTCACACAGCTCAGGTAGAGACACAAACGCACAATTTGTCTGTGTAACCCTGCATTCTGCTCCGCCCTCCTAGGTCACAACATTGGGGGCAAAAAAAAAGAAAAAAAGATGAAATAATTGTGCAAAGAATTTCAGAAGCCCACTGCATTCAAAGAAAGAAAAATTGTAATTATGACTGAATGTAAGTGAGATCTTTATTCTAATAATTGAGACAATGCAGGGGTTGGATTGCTGCAGAATTTGTCTGAAAATCAGGTTTTAATGAATTTAACGAATGCTTTAGTATCCAAGTAATTCAGTGACAGTTGTCAGCACATGAGCATGCAGCAAAAATGAAGTGATAATAGCTAATTCGACACTTACTATTCCAAAATATAAACAAATAGAGGCTTAAAAACTGTGCCCAAGCTGCAGCCCCACAGTAACTCGTATCTGACCACATTGATTTTTTTTTTTTGTAAAATTATTTGTTCACATAATAGAACGTTTAATGTGATATTTTCCAAAATATTATGCTAAGAATTTTTTTTATAAATTTGATATTTAAGCTCATTCATTATATAGATAGTCTAGTAGCCTGTAGGATCTTGACAATTCAGGGAGCCTATAATGCCTATTACAAGATCCCGAACTTATGACAAAGCATTAATCAATATTCAACACTCATGCAAATAGACAAACTTTGATAAGAAATGGGAAGTAGGATCTAGGCTATATGTTTCCATGGATATAGTCTTACAATGTGGGTACCGTTTTTAGCCCAGGCTACATTTGTTTTTGCTGCCTAGCCTACTGTTGTATGTACTGTCAGAATTATGTGAATATCCTACTGAAAAAATGAAAATAAATTTTTCTTAAGCAGGTTCTGAAGCTTTCCACATCCTGCTCAGTACATGTATATAATGAATTACAGTATGGGCAGTAACTTTGAAACCCGTTTGGAGTCTATATTTCTTAGTTTTGGAACACTAAGTACGGCGCATTAACTGTTAGTTCAGTTTTGCTGTGCACTATTGGATGTATTGATATCTATCACTGCATTACTTTGATACTGAAGAATTAGATAAAACCTGATGATTTTCAGGCAGGTTCTGCAGCGTTCCAGCCTTATTACTACGAGATCTTTTTCTGGTAATTATGAGAGTGCAGGGGTCGAGTTCTAGCCAAGTACCTGCTGTACTTCAGTGATGATGGTCAGCTAGTGTGTTGACTTTAGCATTTAGCTTAAAGCACCCCTGTGCCACAGTAGCTTGGTTCTAGGCTTTGGTCTTGTTACTCGCCTGTATTTCTTCCCCATGATGTCTGGAGTTAATAGCGTTTGTTTCCTATGTTCAGAGCCATGATGTACTCCGGAGATCTGAAATTTGAAAAGAGAACGTCATCGGCTCAATTAGAGGGCGGAGTCCACGGCTTGCACAGGTATGCGCACAGTTCAGCACAAACAGGTCCACTCACCCTGATGGACAACTTTTCTGTTTTGTTCCGCTTCAGATTCCATTGACTCCAAGTTCTTAGTTTCATGTCTCACCACAGCTACACAGACCTTCAGTTAGACTTCCTCTTCACAGCCGCCGTTCTGGCTACTGGCTGTACGTCTTAACAGCAAGCAGTGATGTCATCTGATCTTCTCTGTCCCACAGTTATGAGAAGCGGCTGTTTTGAAAAGAAGCCAGCCTGCAGATGGAAAACCCAGCCAATAGGGACATTATGCAATCACACTACTTGCCTGATCCTCCCCAGACACCTCATATAAATTAGTCTTTGAGAAGTTCTCACGACTCTTCTGAGGATCCATCAGTCTTCCTGTCAGTGTCATCTATGCATAATCTGTTTAATATAGCTGTTCGTACACTTGTGTGCGAAGAACTAAGCATTTATCAGTCAGTGCATGTGTAATTGAACTGTCCAATGCCTTCCCTGGTATGTTAAAATTACAGATTGGTTGATTTTAAGACAAAAAAAAAGTTGTCTAATAATAAAGATCATGTTTTTCCATAAGCTGCTTGTCTTCTTTTTTTACCAGCATTGTAAAACTATAATTTGGGAAGTAGAGTGAGAAGGTGCCCAGTGACAAGTTACTACTTCAGGATAAAAATTGAGTTGATAATACAGTTAGAGATTCTTAACTGATGGACGTTCATTCATATCGCTGGAGTCTCATGTTACCTGGGCAGAGAAGACGTGCAGCAGCTTGTGGTGTCTCATGAGAAACTGTCATTTCCACAAGCATGAGATCATTTCTGGTGAGCTATATGGAGGAAGCCAGGGGAGAAAAATCCCTTCATTTAATATGAAATAAGGAGACATGACTATCATCCATGTTTACTCTGAAGAGGACCTTGTCCATTCAACCCTGTTGTAAAATCAAGCATTGATATAAATTGAATATAGCATAGGCTATAAACAAAATTGGGCCAAGCCTACTGTAGAAATACTATTTCCTATTTAATTTTGGGCAGTACTTTTGTGGGGTCCTGAAACACTACCTTAACTACTACAAACGGTCTCCAGATTTGTACGTCTGACTGTAAAGAAATCTGACATGTTCAGCTGGCCTGATGTGCCCTGAGCTGTATTAACAAATACTAACCATGAGAAAAATAAATCAGTTAGACAAAATAAAACAATATATGCACTACCTGCAACTGAACTATTCACAGCAGGATATTTTCATATACAACAGACTGTAGAGAGTTTATAAAGGAAAAGTTTCCCCTAAGAAGCCGAGGTGTTCGTCACAAACTAAATTCATACGTTTATTCTGTCGTGTATTTCAACATTCACTTTAGAGAAGCAGAAGCCCAGCTGGTTGCCAATCAGATAACATACTGCATTACTGCTCGACTACTAGTTATTCAAGTACTGTACATTCAAGGCGGAAGCGTGGGAGTAATGCCCAGGAGGAAGCCAACCTTCTCTCCACCTACCTCAGGTCTCCAGGGAGGATCAGGATCTCTGCCAAATCTGCCGGACTTTCCAGGCTGAAACCCAGATGGACTGATGGGCCTGTTCCTGTCACGGTCTGTTGGTCGCACCTGTCTGGAATCATCCATCATGCCACATGCAGACAGTTCTAATTAACACACACACACACGAAAAGAGTCGATTTACAGGCCTCGATTAGCTTAACTGAAAGCTCAGGGTTTCACAGGAGGAACCGTGTTGCTCCACAGAATACTAGTACTACCTACCACCTTTACCACTCAGTATTGCTACTGCTTGTACTACTACTGCCACAATAGATAAGGTTTTGATTTGGTTATTAGATTGTCAAAAGACATCTACATGTCCAGGTTAAGACATTATGTGATCAGTGACATCTACTGTGCATACAACAACTACAGAGGGGATTTGTTGGCTGGACCAAATGAAGTTTGAAGACACCACATTAGACTCTGGCAACTCCAAATAGCCATTTTTCACAATTTTTGCGAATAAAATGATAAATCAAGAAAATAATTAGCAAATTAATCTGTGATCACTGCATTTTTTTCTGCTGCTCAACACACTGTTAAACTATTTTAACAGTTGAAACCAGAATAGCTCTGATTTAACAAATGACAAGCTGTATTTTGAGAGTTGTGCAGTGTGCTGTAGTACGTTTAGTATGAGATGTGTGTTGAGCATCATAGTGGATATTCTGTGGCAGGAAGCTTTGGACACAAGTCCAACAATATCTGTTCCTCTCCAGTGTCAACTAAATACCCAGGTTCAGATGCAATTTAACCAGCAACGGTACTGTGAAGTGTTCTGGGCTGTAACACATCACAGAAAAAACGTGGCACTGGTGTTCACAGTGTTTGCAGGAGGGTTGGTTAGCCTTGTACATATGGATTTATTAAGGGAGAACATGTCTGTGCCTGGGGGTCCATCATCTCATAATCTGCCCGTGACTACTGTTACAGAAACTGTTTCTAGACCAAAAAGACTAGTGTTACTGCTACTACTGTCCTAATTACAGTCAGCAGTTTTTGTGTGCCACATGCAACTTATTCATTATGCTTCTGTGGTGAAAATATAGGGTTAACCTGGTAAACAAACTTAAACACACCAGAAACGAGCACTATACACAGAACTGGACCCAAACTGCAAAAATACCATTAGGACAAGTTTTCATGGAAATAACTACATGTAATGTCATTTTATAAGTTATACAGTGCACTGTTTGGGTAAATATTTATTTATTAATATTATTTTTATTAGCAAATTATTTCTACAGATATTTTTGTGAAGTGTTAGAACGAATTAAAAGTGCATGTTGAGAGTGCAGTTACCTTAGTCTCGTGTTTCACACTGAGGAACATCTGGGATGAGTCAGAGGAACCGTGCGGTTCATAGGGAAGTAGAAGATTAGTAAAGTAGTGAACAGCTTCAATAGAACAAATACATTTTAAAGTTTGTATAAAAAAGTACTCACCGATGTGTAGTGGTATCTAGCCACAGAGAGAGATTTGGTTTCATCTGTCCAGGTTTACATCTAGGATTTCTGTTCTATCCCAATAAAATGAAGGTACAATTGAATTTGTGGAGTTAAAAATGCATCAAAAAATATCATCTCTGACAAGATGCTGGTTTTGTTAGTCTGAAGAATCCCCAGAATATACTATCAACTGTTTTCTCAGGGACTGTATTCCCAGAGAAACCCATCCTCGGCGACATCTGTTCCCAGACACACTGCAGTTAAATGTCATCGCAAAACCTCAGCAGATAAACCCAAATCTATATTTGCATGGCATAACTTCTATTTAACAAAATACGTTTTTTTTTCCATTTGTACTTTGGGTCAACTGACGTTTAATGTAAACAGATTTAAATCTTGACATTAGCTGGTGCAGCCTCACTGAAAAAAGTAAAAACTGTGTAAAATAAATACATCTTTCATATCTATTAAAACAGGGATGAGTCTACATGATGAACTGACTTTACTTCACTTAGTCTTTAAGATATTTAAAACAAGAGTGTATAACTATCTAAATATCTCATAATATGAAAACATTTACACTTCATTCAAATGATACATCAGCTGTATCATGCAAAGTTGCAAACAGTCTTACTTAAAAAAGCATTTGAGTGTATTTGCCACATAAAAAAAAAAAGACAAGATAGTAGCTATTGTGTCTGTGGAGCAGGAGAGGAGGGAGACGGAGTGAACAAAGAAAGGAGAGGAGGAGTTCTGTCTGATCGGGAGAAGTGAAAGTGAAACGAATCTCTAGAGTATTTAAAGAGGAAGTCTAGGAGTCCCGGAGCTGTGGCAGACGGGGACCACCGAGGGGGACACACTGCTCAGAGAGGCTGGTGAGCTGCAGAACCTTTAAAACTCCTATTTTACAAATGTATTATCACTGTGAGTCATTTAGACAAGCATCTTTTTGGTCAGCTGCTTGTGTCCTTTGACTTCATTGTACTGGCTTCTGGTCTGAGTGCAAGTCCTCATTCTCTCTCTCTTTACATTTTACTTCATAACTTTTAAACTTTACCTCACATTTGTATCGTAACATTTTAGTGATTGAAAGGAGTGTCTTTGTTCCATCATTCCTGATTGTTAGAAAAACTAGAAAGCATTTAGGCTGTTTTCTAGTATAAACTGAAAGTAGAGTTGAGCGTCAGTGATTTTACCCAAGTCCTCTTTTTTTTTCATTAACCGCCTCTTTATTTTTCAGGATATGAGAGTTTGAGGCAGCTTTATATCACAGTCTAAAACCGATTGTAAGCTCCAAAGGAAGCACCCTATGATGCAAATCTCTTTCTTAATTTTTTTTTCCAGCTCTCCCCTTCCTTTTAGCATACTATCAGCGCTTCCTTGTCAGTCTGACTTCTCATGCCCCATCTAGCTTTCTGTCTGTCTCTCAACAGATAACACACAACAGGTTTTTCTAGATGGGACACAAATACAGGAGGCTTATATTTATCCCTGTTCCAATAGTTTGTCTTGGAGAAGGTTTGGTATTTCAAAAGTTGACATGTTGAGCCTGAGGCTGGTTTTAAAGATGTAAGCCGTGTCAGGCTTTTGCCTCCAGAAACAACCAGTATGCTTTAGTAATTCTGAATCCTGCATCTTTGGGGAAGCTGCACAGTTGTTTTGTACCAACTACTGGCATTTTATTACCACTCCTCCTTGAGTAGTGTTACATCAGACTGAGCTCATGATCCACATTAAGAACGCTATCTGTGGATTCACAAAATGTGCTTTTATGAAAAATGTAACGTTCCATAATGCTTTAAAACTTTTAATTTCTGATCTAAAATGTTCTCTCTAATCAGTTATTTATAGGCAAGGTAAGTCCTTATATCAGCTTTAATGTGTTTAATCTAATTACACCAAGACATTTTATTGGCTTTTGGCTAAAGGTCTGTTATGTTTAACTCTTTGCTTACACTAAAACAAATGAACAAAAATAAGAATCTTCAAAATGCTTTATACTATAAAATGCCTATTTTATGTGCTTAGATAAAAAGCAATCAGCTGTTTTGTTAGCATCATAACATACACTACCTACAGCAGTCACTTAGTGCCTTTTTTCAATGATTTCACTGAGCAAAGACTAACTGCTAACACTGCAGTTTCACTCGACAGCTTGATGTACAGTTTAATGTTACACCGCGATCCAGTGAACTTGGATTCAGTTTACAACCATTTCAGCAGCTGGCATAAACTGGACAAGCCGTTTGTTAGTGTTCAATAACAGAACAGTAACAGCAGAAAATGTATAAGCTAACCTGAAAAGAAAAAAAAAAAACACAAATGGGGAGCAATAAAATATTGAGTATCCAGAGTTTTCCAGTTATTTGTGTTACCGACACATGAAATCCAGTTCACTGGATGACTGAACTAACAGCTCAAAGTAAAATATTGCCATGCAAGTTCCACTTTGTAAGCAGGTCAGGTCAATTCAAATATAATAGCAGAGCTTATAAACTCTAGCTGTGGGTTCATTATTAGATATGAATCGTTATTATTGATGAGAACCGAGTGAGGCAGAGGAAGCCGATATGTTAACCGCAATATAAAGGAACCAAACCTTCTGCTGCTCAGGAGTCACCCACTGGAGACAACGCTCACTTTAAAGTTACTGAACTTGTGTAATGGTTACTTAAACTGTGTTGAAAACAGGATTTATTTAAACTGTGGTTACTTACTGTGACATAAAACTGGATTTGCATGGTCTTTCTACCCGAATCACAAAGATGTACATACCGCTAAAGAACTGACCATCACACACTATGATACTACAAACACTTTGGGTTTGGTTTCAAATTCAAAGTTTTTTCTCTACAACTTAACACTGTAAACAACACAGTTTACTTGATGGTAACTAGCACTTGTTTTTCAAATGAAAATCACATGACCTTTATAAGAACTGCGTCTTTGAATTCTGTCTGAACCTGCAGATCAAACCACTATATTTTAGTCCATTAGTTCCATCCATGTATTGTAAACACACTTTTCTTCTTCTTTTCAGCTGTGCTGTCCAGTTCAGGCCCAGGCCCAGCCCTGAACCTCATTTTGGTGGGTGGGATTGTAACGGAACCCATAATGCAGCTGTGATTCAGAGCTCCAGCTGGTTATGGGGTCCGTTTCCATCCCACAACGCAAAGGACATCCTGAGCAGACGGACTTCAGTTTAAACACGATCAACTTTATTGTTCCATAAAGGAAGAAAACAAAATTTAAAATAGTAAAACACCAGTAACAGTATAGAAACTATATCAAAGTATCTACATTATAAATACACATCCCAAACTGACTGAGCCACAAGGACAAACTAAAGGCTATTTAGCTTATACAATATGTAGTGTACCCATTCTGATTTATCAAAGCCAGTGTCAACTATAGTTTTGTTTCTATTAAAGTGAAACTAATTCTAATGCTTTGTAAACTGTATGTAATGAATGAACTGTGGTTTGTTTTATGCCTGATGCAAGAGGTGTTCTTCCTCAATGACACGTTTTCTCCCGGATTGCTAACAATAAACGCAACCGGGAATTTCGTGTCAGCCACGAATTATACCTAGACCAGCGACCGAAGAGCCTGCTGTAAATTATTTTTGATTTCCAGTTTGTAAAGTGTACCGATACAGTTGTTTGTACTCTACTTCTTAATGGACATTTCTATTAAATCTCAATTTAAACTCTCAACCAGTGTGTATATTTTGTTTCCAAGATCTAGCATAACACTATTTCTGATCTGTGTCTTTCATGAACCACAGGGCAGCAGTTTTTCCCTTCTACACCAATGTAACAATGATGTATACAGCTTTGATTTCCTCTCCCTACTGGCTGACATGACTGAAACAAGATATTTACATCAGTGTTTGACACTGCTTCGCCATCTCTAAATGCCACATTTCAACAGCATAACCACCTATGTTGTCCAGTAAATGTCATTACCTACTGAAGTCACTTAGAATAGCTCTAGCATATGAATAATCCCAAAGAAAGCAATTGCAGACTAAAGCATTTCTTACAATAAAATACTTCAGCTGTCAGTGTGATTTGTTTTGCTTTTGCTGAGTTTGGTTCACTATTCACACAAACAGGCTCAGCTGACGTGGTACAAGAGGTCCAGTACAGGTATGTACCAAAAAATTTGAATATCGAGGGAAAAGTCCATTTATTTCAATAATTTGTTTCAAAAAGTGAAACTTGTATGTTATATTAGTTCACTACACACAAAGTGAAATATTTCAAGCCTTTATTTGTTTCAATTTTGATGATTATGGATTAAAGACAAAAAAAACCCCCAAATCCAGTGTTTCACAAAATTAGAATATTTCATGTGACCAATAAAAAAAGGATCTTAAACACATGTTGGCCTTCTGAAAAGTGTGTTAATGTACTGTATTATGTCCTCAGTACTTTGTTGGGCCTCCTTTTGCATTAATTACTGCATCAAGGCGACGTGGCATGGAGGCGATCAGCCTTTGACACAGTTGAGGTGTTATGGTAGCCCAAGTTGCTTTGATATTGGCCTTCAGCTTGTCTGCATTTCGGGGTCTGTGTTCCCTCATCGTCCTCTTGACAATACCCCATAGATTTTCAATGGGGTTTAAGTCAGGTGAGTTTGCCGGCCAATCAAGTACAGTTATTCCATGGCTATTAAACCAGGTACTGGTAATTTTGGCTGTGTGGGCAGGTGCCAAATCCTGCTGGAAAATAAAATCTTCAGCTCCAAAAAGCTTGTCGGCAGCAGGAAGCATGAAGTGCTCTAGAATTTCCTGGTAG